ATACGGAAACCCTAAAATATTGTTTCGATATATACCAGCATTGATTGTTAGGCTGGTATCAGATACGAGTATGTCATGAATCAATACCATATCTATATATACAAGACCATTAAGTGTATATACAAGTGCTTGTCATATAGCGTTGAACGTAACTGTATTGTAATATTAATAACAACGAATAATTCATTGACCCTTACGCCAGATTTGGGGTTAAAATAATGCATTTGTGGTGGCCTCCACGCAGAGTCTCGTGACAACACTATATTTCCCTGATTATACATTTCAGTCTTGTCATTCACATATCGCCATGCGGTAGAGTTAGTAAAGCCTTGTAATTGACCTTTGGGGAGAAAAGAGGCCGATATTAAACACGAAGATAGCGTCTACACTGACAATAATGTTCAAGGGAAATTAATAGGTTCCTCCGTCTTTCAAGTAATTTGTAAAAAAGTAATCAGAGTGGTGAAATGAGAGATTAGAGAGAGCCCTCCGAGCTCCGGGGCGAGTACTGGCGTCCATACAATAAATTTCTTTGCTCGTATATATGCTAATAGCCCGTTCAAGATGGCATCTGGGGAAGGGTGAAGACGTTATCCTTCCAGTCAAATCCCAACCCTATGTTTCAGTGTACATAACAAAATAATTATACTTCCTTCAAGTGACTACACCTCTCCGTCTGCAGCGACGATAACAAAGAAACCAACAGGGCGAGAAGTAAATGGCTCGCTTTCAAAAACGATTTAACCGAATCGAGAAGGAAGCTACCCGTGAAGATCCGGGGTAGAATAGGTCTTCAGCAACCCATGCATACCGTAAAAGGCAACTATGCTTGTCGTAAGAGGCGACTAACGGGAACGGGTGGTCAGTCTCGCTGATTTGGTTGATGCATGGCATCATATCCCAATATCCCAATTGCGTGGATTGGTGCTGGTGATGTCAATCACTGGATTGTCTGATCCAGATTCGATTATTTACAGACAGCAGTCATATAGCTGGAATATTGCTGAGTGTGACGTTAAAAAGCAAACAAAACAAACAAACAAACGAGAAGGGAGGTTAAACTTGTAGCGACTACATAACCCAACATAAGATAATGGAACAAAACAGGGGACCGCATCCGACTGTCGCCGATTGATAAGTTGTTAAAGGTATCCCCCAACCTCCCTACAGGGTGGACTGTATGTATACACCTCCCAGTCACCTTCTCCGGTTCACCTGTGTACCGTTCATCAATCAGTCATACTTAGAACATTTACATTTATTCGTGGGCATGCCCTCGTCTGATGTACTGTCCAACTGTCGCCGTTAGGTTATGACTGAGGTAATTGTTTAACGGTGTGGGCGGCCTTCCGTTTCGTTTTTGTATGTTTGTTTGTTGTTTAACGCCTAACTCAGCAATATTCCAGCTATATGACGGCGAACTGTAAGTAATCACGTCTGGACCAGACAATCCAGTGATTGACATCGTGAGCATCGATCCACGCAATTGGGATCGATGACATGCATCAACCAAGTCAGCGAGCCTGACCACTCGATCCCGACAAGCATGGGTTGCTGGGTTGTTAGAGACCTATTCTACCCCTTCCGTTTCGCACAACAGCAAATCAGAAAAAAACAGGCGCATAATGTTGCACAGGGTCTTTTTGTGATAAAGCTAATATTTTGGTATTTATTTACCAAATGCTGTCACAAATCACTACTTGTTGTTTTATATCTCGCTATAATTGTATCAGTAGATGTGTCCGATATCCCTAAGTGAGTGAGTATGGTTTTACGCCGCTCTAAGCAAAATTCCAGCAAATATCAAGGCGGGGACACCAGAATGGGCTTCACACATTGTACCATGAGGGGAATCAAACCCGGGTTTTCGGCGTAACAATCGAACGCTTTAACCACTAGGCTACCCCTTCAACCCTATATGTAGTCCTAAACTGACCTTAAAAAACAACATACTAGTCAACTCCTTTTGAACGGTTGCATGTACGTATTTAACACGCAAAATAATGTGAATGCTATGTTTCACTGATTACACAAAACTCTACCATTTTAGAAGTCTTTTTGAAATCCAATAGCCAATGTAATTTCATGGGACAAGACAGCGCTCGAAGATCTTGTTGATCAAATATTATTCAAGCGAAGCGTCATTTTCGCCTGTATACATCCTATTATATACAAACACGTTTACGTTTCAATTGGAATCGAATACTAACAGCTTTATGAATATTCATGACATAATTTACCTGTGGTTTATGTTGATAATAAAAACTGCATAGAATCGCACATAGTTACAGCTGTCACGTCCTCTCATAGCCGCCCTATTCCATTAGACAATGTAGGGCGGTTGGTTTCAACACTGGCAAATAGATGAGCACATTTGGGGAGTTTTCCCACCACCAGGAACCTGGACCTGCATCGATGGCCACAATTAAATGTGTTTGTTGCCACTTGCCACTAATCGTGATTTCTTTCCCCTGACATAACAGAGACGTGGTTGGTTAAAATACCTGTGTGCAAGTTATGATTCTGAATGTCATTTCTAAGTAATCCTCCCTGTATTCTCCCTTTTGAAAACTGATTTTGTATTGAAACTAACATTTTGTATGTGATGAGTTTAGTAACAGGATAATAAGGGTCCACCTTTCCATGATCATATCCGAAGTGCACAATGCACAATTGTCTGCACGGGTGCCACCGGCGGGGCAGGGCATGCACCTTTTCGCGAACTCGTGGTATATATCGTCACTAGTTGATAGTGGTTCATAAACTCATGCTCAGGATAAAGTCGGAATCGTACAATCGACTGCTTTTGGCAGAGTTTTCTTATGAATATGGAAAGGGTTTTGTCACTCTTATTTACAAAGGCCCTCGGTCCTGATTTGTCAAGAACCATCAACCTAAATATTGACCGCTCCCCATCACTTATCAGACATTGGCTAAGTCAATCTGGTCACGCAAACCGGCTGTCATGTAAACTCTCAATGTTGTTTTTTATAGATGAAACTATTATTAAAGTTTTTTTTAGAAGCGTGTAAGATTTATATGTGTCAACACCACCAGATAATATAGAATCCATCGAATCCAGGACTGGTCGACGTGTGATGACGCGGTGCAAGAGATGGCCAAGACGGACAAATTAATTTATCGGAAGCAAAAGGTTGGTTAATATGGCTACTCAGTGAAGGTACGAGATGGCTGCCATATTGAATGTCAAGGCTGTCGGTATATCAAAGCAGAGCGAAGCCTATATCACTGTATAGGTGACTGTGTGGCATGTTGCTGAATACGTCCTGGGATTAAGGCCATTACTGGCACCAACACAGGAGAAATTAGCAGGGGTAATCAACGTGCATTGATTTCAATCTATTTTCAGGCCAAGGGATTTGAACCTTTAATTGGTAGAGCTGACGGAGAGCTACAAGGGCGTGTTGACGCTACAACCACGTGACAACACCAGAATCGAAGTCTATACCAATACCGATACTATGACATAACATTGACAAATAGTCAGTGATTGTCGACGACATGTGCACACACCGTTGATTATGTTCCCATTAAAACCTTGGATATATGCTGATGAAAAGGGTGATACAAGCGATCGATAATAGATCGATGCAAACTTGGGGGTATTGTTGCGTTCCAGTTCATGCACGTGTATCGATGTTGAGGGTTGGGACTAGATGGCAGGTAATATTTGCAGTGGGGAGCTACGTCCCTTGAACTCTCTTCCGTCGCGTACTACGATGTGTTAGGGCAGGTTGACTCCCCTGTGATCTAAATCGGCCTGAATCGTCTTCCTGGCAGTGTTTTGTATGTGTATCTGAATGCAGCAACTAGAGCATTGTATTTCTACGGCGCTCACAAAGACTGCATTGATGTCGGATCGATTGTCACGGGAATTGAGTAAAATATTTACACGAATCAATTTAAAAACAGCTTGCGGCCAATGCAGCATAAAATATGAGGTATTTGTAACCGGGAATCTCACATCAATGTCTAAGCATAGTGATGCGTCGTTGTGATCTTCTTGGAAGGAATATGCGCCACATAACGTTTGTATATATATATATATATATATATATATATATATATATATATATATATATATATATATATATATATATAAACGCACATAAGCTATTGTCATACATCAGTATTATTCGGCGTAAGGAGAGAGAGCGGTGATTGACACGCCATGCTGTGTCAGCCTGACACTGCCGGTTTATTGATATCTGGGAATGGTTGATATCATTCGAAACCATTTCAAATAGATGATGATTGTTATGCACCAGGTGACCTGACCCAACGCGTTTAAAAGCATTTGTCAGCATGGACATAGTGTTAGTAATAACGTTCGTAATACGTGTTAGAGGCCATTTACACGTCACAAATTAGAACACCCCATAATACGTTCGTTGAATTAAAGGAGGGTTAACACTGAATAGACGCTGACCAGGTTGGATACTGACGTCATTTGATGAACCACCTTTAAAGTAAACACTATTGATGTGTGTTGTTTTGATATTACTATATGATACATGAAAGGCATCTGCATATCGCACAGTGAAATGCAACACTTAAATTTTGCACAAGTATGAGGGGCCGTTTAGTGCCTCAACGTTTATATATATATGTTGCATATATAGAGTATATAATCAATATAACTGCATGTTATCCTGAAACTCGCCAAGTCATTAGGTGTGTCGTGATGAATGAAAGCATAACCGGAACTGGGCTTACATTGACGTATTTATTTAACATTTTTTGCATGAACGCTATTAGCCAGATTGTCTCGCGAAAATATATTGTCAGACTTTCGATGATGCGATTTGTCTTGGTAATTATCATAACAATAACAATAGTCGATCGTTCTAAGCATGGGTTTTGTATATGTTAGTGTTGATACAGTATCCTGTATTGGAAATGTGTGATGTGCATGCGGTTACTGCGATCTGTGGTAACAGATGCACTCTTGAAGTATACAGTACAGAAAGTGGGCCTACCTCCATCCGCATACGTCTCGCAGCCATAGCCATCCTGTAGTCCTGTAGTCCACGTCCCCTCGTAGCGGGCGCCCGATGTCGTGCTCTGGCGTACCCCATAGCGTCCCTTGAATCCCTGTGTCCACTCCCCCCTGTACATCCATCGGCCCTTGGTTTCGCATCCTAACCCATGTCGTTTGCCTTGGAACCATTGGCCTTTATAGGCGTTTCCGCTGGGCCAGGTGTACACCCCTGACACCTCAAAGCCGTACTGCCAGGCCCCCGCGTACTCCCCCTGGCCCTTGGGCCCCGTACACACCCCATGGCCATGGGCCTTTCCCTCCTCCCAGCCCCCGCAGTACGTGCCCCCATCATCGAAATCGAAACGTCCCCCTCCCGAGGTCATTTAGTTTGTTTGATCGTTGATGAACATGAGGCGAGTCAGTTTCAATAAATCAGCTGATGATAAGGTTAACAGTAGATATTTCTCCTGAATGTCAGTGATTGAGCTGGCCTACCCTCACATCCCGGCGAAGTGGTAGTGTTGCAGGACAGGGTAGCGTATGCTGACCAGGCTATGGGTAGCAGGGCAAGGCGACACCAACACCGGCCTACCTAGCATGTTCACTCCTAACACGCTACTCACCAGCTCGATATCACGAAATGCAACAACTGCAAACGAAATAAAACAGACGGTCAGTTCCACTCAAAAGGACAGATATATTAGGACACACAACACGAAATTAATGCCGTAACAGTAGGAGTCTTTTTAACCTGGAGCATACGAAATCAAACGAAACGCCGATCCAGAATTATTACGCTAATATCCAACGTTAATTCCTCTCAATTGGAGTCTGCCCGACACACATGTTGTAAACTCCCTAGTATATGTGTATGTAGGGTCCCCCTTGTGCGAGAGAGGGAGGGCTGTGGCGATCCGCTACTGCAGCTGACGGTAAATGCAGTAGAGAAGTAGACGACACACACACAAGGTATAGGCAGGCAGCACACTGTACTCACACTGTATATAGAGCCATCCGTCCTCCGATCCACGTTTAATCAAACGATACGTCGCTCGTTGAGCGGCGCGCAAGGTTAAAGGTTTACACCTTGCCTGATGGAATCAAAACCTTTCTTTCGCCTCAGTTGCCCTGGCTCCGAAACACCGCGGTGGATCAACCCCAAAATTTCCAACCCGTGAGGTGATAAATTTAATCATATTCCACGGGAAAGGATGGTACGGGGCGATGCGAAATTCTCCTCCGTCAGGGTGAATAAATTATGCGAAAATGTCCGCCATAGAATCTAGCTTCTACATGTGTATGGGAGGTTGGTTACCCATATATGGCCGCGAGAGCCGATTGGGTAAGAAGGTCGATCGGTCTGACAAGGAACTCGAGAAGATATACGCTATTTCAATCGTGAGAGATGTTCCGTGTGTTTCTGTGTAGCTCGGCGCTGCTCGGGATCTGTCGGCCGCTCGCTCTCTCCTTACTGGCCGGCTGGTTGGTCGGCAGGGAAGCGATTCCTTCCAACATCTGGTAATGAGAGAGAAGCGCACGCCAACGTGTGGCAAGCGGGCAGGCAGACTGCTGTATCGTCAGGGAAGCTAGGAACATCACCAGGAGACACGGTTGGGGAGACAGTTCATTTCCATACAACGTTCATCCCAACTGACTGACTTAAATCAATAATCGATCCTGCCTCCACGCTGTGTCGTTTTCTTAACAAGTTCAGTGCAGCATGGCGGCAATACTTCAGTTTCAAGATATCTATATTTTTATGGTGGTGTGCATAAGTAGTATTAATAAAACGTTTAGAACAATAACAAACTGAGAAGGCGGCTGAACAACAGGTAAAACAGATGATTTCAGCTGTTACGAACTGCATGTGCCTGCAAGAATGGGTCACATGACAGTCTGTTAGAAGCGACACCTGCATGTAAAGTGCGTGAAAAACTTAAAACCGCAGGAACTCGTTATTGGTCAGTAAATAAACATATATACCCCTAACTGTTCCCTACTTGCATATAGGAGTTATGTAATTTTATTTACTAACCAATAACGAGTTTCTATGCTTTAAACTAGGACTAAATTATACTAACACTGCCTAAATGGAATCAAAATTTACATGTGGTATTGGTAAATGTTTAGATTCATTCATGCAGTGAAATGTGCAATATGGTAAACGTCCTGTTTCCGAATGAATTAATGACACACCTGTTACACATGTTAGTCTCAAGTTTGCAAACACGGACAGCTTGAATAGACACCTGGATAGAATTCACGCACAAGTAGCTTTACGAGATTTTGAAACAAATACGCGCGAACAGCATAATTTCCACACTTAAAAATGCATTACTTGGCTTTCGTCATTATGTGTATTTGAGTATAAGAGAAAGTGCATACACTATATAACGTCTCTGTTATACTTTCTATTAATATATGCGATTAATAAGATGAACTCCAAAATCATCTACAGAAACTAATTTAATTGAACAATCTTTTCTGGACTCGTGTATGTGCAAACGGTGATGTCAGAAACAAAGTTGCGTCATTTTACTTTAAGCTGTGTTAAAAACATTTCAAAGGATAATGTACGAACATGTGACTATCATTATCTCATTTCGCTGCAAGCGTACGGTAGATGCATTAGTAGAAACGTTTTGCGGTGTAATATTACCCACAGTCAGCTGTGTTAACCCCGGGGGTCCGACTTCAGAGCAGGGGGTCGGGACGTGGTACGTAATGCTATCGAGAACATATGTACTTCCCGAATACAAATGTACATCATTCTGTATAATGCCATGCATAAACATCAGCTCACGCTGTAATACACAATCAGTTGCATTTGGTACTTAGCGTCCATGTGTTTCTAGTTTGAGACGAATTAAGTATCTATTGTGTGTTTAAACTATAGACGTATTACTGTATCGTTGAAAGAGGGGCTATATTGTTGCTCCGCGATCTGGCGTCTATTTCCAACGTAGGTCTACAGAAAATGTTGATGAACGCCGCACTGAGCAATATTGCAATATCACGGCGACCTGTACATAATCGAGTCTTGACCAGATAAACAATGGTTGATATCATGAACAACGTTCCACGCCGTCGGGGTACAACGACACACATTCAACCAAGTCGCCGAGCCTGACCACCGTACCCATTCAAGTCGCCTGCCACAAAGAGCGCCGATGATGCCTTGGTTATGATTAGTGCTGTGTCGATGGAGAGATTGAGACATTGCCACTGTAGTCAAGGTAACCATTAACTGAAATACTGACCTGCATCATAAAATGTAGCTGACATACAAAGTGGTGTTTGAGAGACTTGAATTTAGCGCGACAGGACTGCCATATTTTACGGTGCCTAAACAGTGCTCCTTCCGTTGGAGCTCAAAGCAGGTAAAGTCTCTTCTGTCAGCGCTTATAATTATGTACAAACAAACGAGAACAGCTCGTGACTGACCCAATCAACGTTTGTTTGCTTGTTTTTGTTGAGAAAATAAGCGGAATTGCCGACAAGACTTATATATGTAGACGAAACGCAAACCTCTACATGTTTTCGATGAAAAATCATGCTTAGGTTTTACGATTTACATTTGTTTGTGTACAGTTGAATCAAGAGAGTATCAATAACTAAATCAGCCATCATTTCTTACTCGGATTTCTCAAGCATCGTCTGATGACTCCCTTTATACTAATACGTGGCCTGTCCACAAATATATATTGTCCGATTCCATCACACAAAAATAGTGTTTTGTTTTTTGTTTTACGCCGAATACTGACCAGAGAATCCAGTCATTGAGATCACGAGCGTCGATCCACGCAGTTGCGATACGATAGCATGTAATCACACAATCCATTTAGTCAGGCATAGGTTGGTAGGGACTTATATTCCTACCTGAAATCCTAACCTGGTCAATAAAAGTACCAATAAAGGCACGTCTGAATGTTTTCATTGGGATATAAAGGTCATATCATACTGATAAATTGGAATATGCAAAACTAAGTACTAGAAGTTTAGATGGGATAAAACAGTATAAATATTTCATAATGATATATTGGGAAATGGCGGAGGTTTTACACATGGCAAAGTTTTTACACATTTCGATATAAATGTGCCATGTCTCTTAAGGTGACCCCCAGCGGCCCTTACACTTGACGCCAAGGTCACAATGAGTGACCTTAACCTTTATTGTCACAATACGGTCCGGAAAGCTTTACCAGTTGTGTAGGTGAGGAATATCAGGTATGAAGTCTCAAAACATTGATTGTAAGCATGAGGTTGGCAAAAACACTTGCGACGGTCAAATTTGAGCAAACGCATTAAGCCGTCCCTTTAACGGGGGACTGCTGAATACGTTACCCAACGAAGTACTAACTTTATTAATATGCAACTTGAACCTTTTCTTGTCCTTGAACACAGACGTGTTTTGCATTACTTTCAGATGAAAGGCTGCTACAAACATTTGCAATTCATTTGCTATTTTAAGAGATTGCCATCTGTAGGTATTTTCACACAATAGGTGTGATTCATTCAGAAAGTTGCTGGTGTTTTCTTAAGACACGGTGTTGCCATCAGTGAACAACCTCCTAATAATCTAATCTTGTGTGAAATACCCCTGAACATTCGGGTTAGAATAGGTCTTCAGCAACCCATGCTTGCTGTAAAAGGCGAATAACAGGATCGGGTTGTCAGGCTCGCTGACGTGGTTGATGCATGTCGTCGTATCCCAATTGCGTGGATCGATACTCATGATGTCAATCACTAGATTGTTTGATCCATACTCGATTATTTACAGACCGCCGTTATATTGGTGAGTGCGGCGTTAAACAACAAACAAACACTGGCTGACACAATGAGTGTTTTAATGTGTCAGGAAAGTGTTGCTTATTGCAAGGCAGAAAACTCATGCTTATAGGGCATGCACATTTTAGCAGCATTAACTGATGCATGTCACCAAGCACATACAGTTACATTGATAATGATAGGCTTTGAAGCGTGAGAATCCTTCTCTGGATCATCTGAGCACTTTGCCCTCCAGCTTGAAAAATCAAATATATAAAATAGTTCCACGACCCTGTAGCTCACCTGGATATGTGTTCAACAGTTTGAAACTTCCCCAGAGACGGCCACTTAACTTATGTCTTATGAGAGAATTTAAGAGTATGGTCAAAATTTTGTTGCAAAATACGGAGCATGTGAATCCCACAACTACACGATTTCATTACTCTTTGTACATAAATAATAGAATGTGGTCATGAATAGTTTTTCAATATGGCCACCACAGCAGTGATATTGCAAATAGGATTCGTATCTCTTGACACCCTATGGGGTGTCACTGTCATCATTGCTGGGAACAAGCATGTGAAATTTCAGCTTCAGTGGTCCGGTAGTTTCTAAGGAGTGATATTTACTGCTGTCTGGTGGCTGCTGTTGTGGCCGCTGCGGTAGCCATATTGCAATTCCAATTCGACCATTTGAATTAATAGGGGTGTCATTAGTACCAACAAACATGTAAAGTTTCAGCTTTATTAGTCCAGTAGTTTCTGAGACGCATAAGACGAATGATGTGCGACTTTTTCGTATTTTCCAATATGGTTTTTTTACCACGAGGCCTTAAACAAACTTGGAACTACATATGGTAGCCATCTCACCTTATAGATTCAGGCTTCTAGTCCCTTAAGGTTTGAAGCATTGAACAAAATTGAATCCCTTGTAGTAAGAAACGTTCACACACAATTTAAGTTGAATCCATGAAGTCATTTCGGAGAAGTTGAAAATGTGGGAGGTTTAAGCACGACCTGCGATGACATAGGCTCAACTAGCCTTTCAGGTGTGTTAAAATAGTACCATGGCACATTAGTAAGTAGGTTCGCGTACTTGGACGCTCCTTTACCTCATTACTTTGCCGATGTTTCTGTGCCAATCTGCTTGTAATCAACTGTTGGTAACCGAGTTAACATCCAACAACGTTGTAGGTCATGACTGCATTAATCATGCCTATTATTCGACACCTTTCGAATTCAAGAAATAAGATAACAGTTCAGAATATTCTAAACGTGCTTATTTAGCATCGACTGACAGTGTGTTTTTTAACAAGTGGCGAGTGGCTTGTTGCACGTGGTTTACGCGTCAGGGCCGCTAGTATCTTAGCTATGGATAACAGTTCGTGTCATCAGCAAAAAGGGTTTACCAGTTACATTCTTAATCCTAACTGATATCACTAGGCCGCTATAATATTATGATAGACTAGTACATTCGTCAATAGAAACTCGATCCCATCAAATTTCAATACTATCCCAGTCATGTGACCTTTTACCACTTTACATTTACCGAACAATTAAGACTATATTTGGCAAATATACATTAATATTTATACGGAAAATATCAATGTCAACGTGACAAAGGACAGGGTGATAGATGCCAAACATCACCCCAAACACCAAAAATGGGCTTCACAAATCTTGCAAAAGTAAGGAACCGAATTCGGGTTTTCGGCGTGACAAGCTAAGACCATAACCACAAGGCTACTCCATCGCTATGGAAAGCTCATTCAAAGCGCTGCTTGATCTGTCATCGTAATATTGTTTAGGTTCACTGGGGTTTTCGACACATAAGTCCTACTGATGTGGTGTGCAGGAAGATAATACCACTGTAACGTAAACAAGGCAGGGGTGACTTTTGGTCTTCCAGTCGTTGGGTATCCATCCTTTAAGCTAAGGATTAAAATGGATCATTTATGTATTCTTATAAACATCACATGGGAATATGCCCCGGGATATGCTCCATTAATGTATCACACCGAAAATCTAATCAGTCTCAGAATTACAAATATATACTTGTGACGTATTAGAAGTTTCACTCTGCTGAGGTATGACCAATAAAGACGTGATACCTTTTCAACTACGAACCGTCGTGATTCAGGCAATGTCACCGTAGATTCCAGATACCAAGTTTCGTTTACTCAACAGCACACCAGAGTTCGTCAAATCATATCTAACTACTGTATAGTATGACAACACCAGCAACCGTCTTAATTATGTTATGTTTAACTAGTTCATATTACCAAAATAAGTACATGAGTTTCAAGAACCTACGAGGTCATTGCTTTAGGATGAACACCGGTGTTTACTGGCATATATACACAATTTGCAGGTGACCTTTATAACAACACGTAGTCAACTTCGCCACTTGTTTTTTAGATGTCGAATATAACGAATTGATTGTAAAACCTTCAAACTAGTATTCATACTGGTAGAATTGTTGATATACAAGACAAAAAGAAACGCGGTATAAAATTTGATTTGGGGGAAAATTAAATATATATTACCTTCAGTACCTTCAGGAAATCACACATTGAAGGCATTAAATGCAAGTACACTCTCAACAATGGGTTTAGAACCTAAGCACAAACCTAAGGGCGTTCGTTGTTCCATAATTTCGATGTGTTTAGGGTACAAACATATTTATAACTGTGTTTAACAGCTAATTATTATTGGGATAGTACACAATGATATGCACTTTGTCGCAAACATGTTAAAATTCATGTTGTTAACGGCATGTTATATTTAGGGGATATTTAGGGTGTGAGAAGATAGCCAAATTCATGTTTATACCATTAATGTGTTTAGATACTAGACAGCAAACGTGCATTCCCTTTCGGGATTTAAACACATTCCTGAACATGTTTAGATCTTAACATGTCTTGCATGTTTTTAAATTCTAAAAACCAGCTTTACTGTGTGTGAACATAGTTCTCCTTGTGACATATTTTTAAAAATAAAAGGTAACATCGAAAAAGCAGACTTTTGTTTGTTGTTATTTACATTAATCCAAGTGTGTCCTAAACTGGAAATAAAGATGGTGTAAAAATACTTTGGCAAATTCCCTTTCACTCCTCAGACCAGTGCTACTAGAAGATGATAGGTTTATTTAACAAAAGTATTTACAAAGCGTCTCCAAATGGTGAGAATTTATTTTCACAAGTAGATCGTCTGAGAACAGTTCATGCAATGCTAAAAGAGCAATAAGACTGCCCATGCAGTAAGGTCTGAGGAATGTCTCTGATAGAGCTTAGTCCGAAATCCAAATTACAGAAGGAAACTTGTAGGTGACTAAATAAATCAATAAATATTAACATGAAATGTCTATATATACAGTTTTGCGATATAGCACAAGCATATAATTTAGATTAAATATGTCACGGGTATATACAATTATTATGTCACAAATCAATGTTATAGATTTATACTTTGGTACAAATGTCAAATTCATAGTCAACAGGATATGTATGTGAAACAAGACGTGCTTCCATACAATATAAGTGGTATAATATCTTAACAATGTTTTTGAATTAATAAAGTGTGTCTCGAAATGATCACCTTGGAGGTCAGATGATACGACACACCTCAAGCATGTGCTTGTGGAGGTATCTCTTCTGGGCAAAGGCGCGGGAACACTTTGGACAAGAATAGGTCTTGTTCTGTGTGGTGTGGATGAGCATGTGAGAGCGAAGGTTCGATTTATCAGCGAATGCTTTGTCACAATCAGGATATGAGCAGCGGAATGGGCGTTCCCCTGTATGCGTGCGCATGTGGCCCTTCAGGAGCCAGGATCTTGTGAAGATTTTGCCACAAATTTGACACTTGTTTCTGGTTTTTCCATGAACCCACATGTGAGCTTTGTAAGCAGAGAAAGATGAGAATTCCACATCACAGTCTCGACATATAAGCTCTTGTTCACCTGAACTGTCATCGCTCTCACTGAAGTTATCATTCTCCGTGGAAAGACTTAGTTCATCGTCTCTGCTATCTTGACTATCATCGTCTACTAGTAACTTGTTTGATGTGCCAGCTCTTGGCTCACAATACTGTTGGTAGGTGCTCTGACATGGCAGTGTCTGGGAAGATCCAGGAACTCCTGTCCCATTAGATGTGAACTTGTGAGATTGAAAAGTCTTATTGTTTCTATTGGTATTAACACTACTCTGCAGAAGTTTTTGCCCTCTGTGTAATAATGGCGAGTTCAAAAAGATTGCTGGCATTCTGTCAACATAGGATGTACCATCTGATATCTGCGCTGTCATGAGGTTCAATTTGCAGTCATCTTCACTGTTCAGATTGGTGTCATCTACACTGACATGCTCATCGGTATCTTCAGTATTTCCCATGACAACTATAGAATCATTACCCTGCGTCTCAAACGTCTCTTCTTTTTCGGACTGATGAACGTCTCTCAAGGCCATCAGCTCTTCTCGCCAGTTGGCAAAGTCTCGTGGTCCAACTCCTGCAAGGTCAAGTTCTGGAAGACGACGGCATATATAGAAACGTGTGACAAACGACAAGTGACTCAGGGGGCGATGCTTCACTGGAAAGCTTTTCTTTTTAGGAGGCACACTCGGGGGTGGGTCATCGGTCGGTACTGGTGAGGGTATGTTCCTTACCACTGCGCTAACACGACCACGTGGCGCAGTGCTTATTGATAGACCGGACCGAGTGGTCATCACGAATGGGTCGTACACTGGAAACAGAAACAGAAACAGAAAATGTACAAAATAATTTATGCAGTGTAAACTCTGTATAGAACTTTAATCATTTTGACAATTTGTCAGGCAGCCAGCCTGATAATATACTTTGTTACACAGTGGTTTTGCTCATTGACATGACCTCCATTATCTTGGCTCAACATCAACTATTGACCCTCTCTGCACCCCCCTTGACCACTCTCCGCCCTTCTATGTCACCTGTGATATTGGTCACTTGTTCCAACCCTTGAATATTTGGACGATGTAATTTGAAAAAAGAGGCCATGGACCGTGTACAATGGAACCACACAGACTAGCACAGACATGCAAAACTACATGAGACTTCTTATAAAAATGCATATATGTTGGAAAATACATACCAAAATTATAGCTTGAAACAAGAACTATACATGTTCAAATACAAAACAATGTCAGAAGATTAATTAACTTCGATGCAATTTTAAAGTCTTGATGTTAGGTTTTTACTCTCACATATTTATTTATGAGTAGATCTATTTATGCTAAGCTTATTTCCCTCTTTTGAAATTCAATTCTGCTCCAGGCGAACGCTGGTCATTTGTCATCAGTCCTGCCAAAAGGCCTGCTCAGAGCCTGAAAGTGGAATGTACTCTGGTACTTCTAACAGCATAATCTCTGCATAGATCCAAGCATATTTTGACTACTGGAGGATGTACGACACACAAAAGAGCTGACCAGAGGTGCATAAACTGGTTCCAGTCGGATACCGAGGCTCTGTATACTTAGGCAACTATAGGCCTCAAATGTGATTGTTTTATCGTAAATACATCACCATTAGATTTTGTTACATAACATTGTATATACTTGCAAACATACAAATCAACAAATCGTAAGATATCTTTTGCACTCAAAACGTGTCTGACACTCAATGAATATATCTGACATCAAGATAATGTAAAAGCTGTTTTGGGAACACGAACATATATTTTATTAATACGTGTCATATCTAAATATTGGAACTGAAAGCATGGTTACCAGATAAAATTACACCTGGATGACTTTTTCAACATTTTATGGTTTCTTTGTAATTGCATCTTTAACTCCATAAAAGTGTTCATATTGAATCATAATCGATTATATACCACATTCAGTTTGAGTGATAGATATGTATTGTGTATATAACTTAAGCATTTTAATATCCGCACATGGAAATATTTCACTGGCAATGATTCAGACATTCAAACATGGATAGCTGTATACTCACTTTGGCTGGACAGATATTTTGATGTTACCAGTGTTTTATAGTTGTACCTAAATATTTATTAGGCTCTAAAAAGTAAAATGCACTGTAGTTTTTTTGTTATTCTTTATAATGTATTCGGCAAAGTTTAATATTAAAATTGTTCAAGAGAACACTTCACTGCCCATTGCAATTTTCTAACATGTTTTGTAATTTAACTCATTCGTACTATGTGAAATTACAATTGATCTTAGTTATTACATTCAGGGTTATATTAAGGATTACAAACTCTAAGCCCATGACAGGCAAATTGGGGGGAAACGGCATGATATTGATACTTTCTTAAATCCCGAGTTTTGGAATTGCTTTCAATGACATAATAAAGAAGAAATAAAGCATTTTCTTCCTTTTTTTTTGTAATTTTAATGTAATCATTAAAATTCAAATCACCTTTGCAAATCTATAAATTAACAGTATAGTTATGATAATACCTTAAGATCTATTACTGAGATTTTTTGCAGACTTTGGGCTGAATATAGGCACCAGAGAGAAAAGGTATCCTAAGGACTAGTAGAAATTGGCCCATTTTAAGGGCTTTGCTATGTCATCATTATAAGGACTAGTAGACAAAACCTGTTTGTTTCTAACCCTGTACCTATATAGCCTGAAACCTTTGGCCACATACTGGCATACTTGCTACATTGGACCCTGCTGACAATCATGTTTTCCTCGTCCGGTGAATCATGTTGGCTGAGACTAAGCCTAGTGATTAAAGATAAAGAAAGCAACTTCACAAGTTCGACAAGGTGATCAAATTGGCAGTTCTAATCGTTGTCGAAGACGGTAAGCCTACTCATGCCCGAAACATTATCGTGGGTTCGTAATGTAGCCAACGTATCAATATATTGCGTTTAGATTGAGAGTGCCATGCTTACTGTTACAATCATATGACAAGAAAAGTATGGCCTATGGCTATTAAAACGAGATATGGAAAAATCCGGTAAGCTTTCGATGGATGTTCGGGCACCTGCCATATTGAAACTTTATTCATACCTTGGGCCTAAAAGTCAATTCCTAACATAATTCAATTGATTAACAAATAATGATTTTGTATTCTTTTTGGAAAGATTTAGTAAACTCACAAAGAAAAACATCTCAATAAACAACATAAACACATTTTCAATCGTCTATAGGCCTACCACTGAATTTTATCATTTCAAACCTACCGTTGCCAGCAACGTATTTTCCAGATTTGTAACCCCTTACGGAGTTTAGTAGACATTTGGGCATACTTTAAATTTAGAGAAGGGGTATTATACTCCAAAATAAAAGCAGTATTTTCCGTGTTCTGTCATTTTCTAGTCTGTCAACTATCTCCAGCAGTGGCGTTCGTCTGGACCACCGGAAATGCGCAGGCGCATTACCGTTTATGTGACGTCACGCGCGCACCTGCCAACAGAACGTTTACGAGGTCACAGGTTCGATAACTCTGCATAGACACTTAGCTGAGCCAAAACAGTCCGATTCCGTTGCCGGAATGCATCAAACAAACTGATTTTCGTAAAGCCTTGGGTTTGTCCGGTGTTTTGGTTACTTATGACAAATTATACACCAATATACTTTCGAATATTTAGAAAATCAAAACTTAAATCATAGTTTAGTTTACTTTGATTTATAATTCAGGGTGTATATCAATACACTCTTTATACATACGTCTTAAATGAATTTTCAAACCATAAACTTACTTAGGAGATAAAGAAGGCTGGTGTAAAAAAATATCGGTTATAACGAATTAAGTTTTATTTTTATACCCACAGAAGCAAATTCACGATATGTAAAATGAAAGTACTTCGAAATTCGTTATAACAACATGGCGTCATGCGAATATTATCCCCCGCCTACCAAGGTGAGACTATGAATAAGGTTCTAGGCTACCTTCAGCAATATCTCGTCTGCTTTCCAGACCACAAATTAAAAAAAGCGTTTGAAATACCTTCCTTCCAGCTAAATATTTCTACAGACATTAGTATTTGAAACGTTTCAAGGGCACGTTAGAATCTAGAATTCCGGTCACGTGACACAGGCAATGTAGCTCACCTGAACCTTTGTTTGTTTTGTTATGTTGACACGCAATCATTTAGATAACAACCCGTGTAGAGTAATTCTCGCTGAGGTTTGCAAGGAGCTTAAGTCATGCGAGGTTTGTTTGTTGTTTAACGCCGCACTTAGCAATATTAATGCTTTATGACAGGTAGTCTGTTAATAATCGAGTGTGGATCAGATAATCCAGTAATTGACATCATGAGCATCGAGCCACGCAGTTGGGATACGATGACATCAACCAAGTCAGTGAGCCTGAACACTCGATCCCGTTAGTCGCCCCTTATGACAAGAATTGGTTGCTGAAGACCTATTCTAAAAAAATCCGGATGTTCGCGGGTACTCACCTGAAATTTTCGGCCTCATTGATGTCAAAACTACGCAAACCTAGAACCAAGTATTGTATGACGTGTTGTAATACAAACTTATAGATATATTCATGTGAAATGTGAAATGTCAGACTGCATTAGACATACGTGTTGCATTCCAAATCACACAAACTTTCAAAATTTATAGGTGAGTTGGGAGGTAGTTTGGCTTTAAGCAGCTTGTAGCAATATACTAGGAAAATCACGGCGGGGGACCAAATAATAGGCTCCACACATTATAGCCATGTGGGGAATCGAACATGGATCTTCGGTGTGACGAGCGAACACTTTAACCACTAGGTCATCCCAACGCCCCAAGATAGTTCTAAAGGAGTAACGCCGCTTTGAAATTCAAATATTGAATGACGGCTTGTCAGCTCAAACTTAAGGAAGCAAAACGTAGCACTGTCCGCAAACCTTGACCACTTTAGCGAACCTGCGCACACGGGAATGGTGCTGATATATCAAGGATCATTATCGTGGAGAGTGGGTGAGTGAGTGAGTTGGGTTTTAACATTTTTTTGAACAGTATTCAAGTTATATCACGGCGTGTCAGCTTAATGTTGGAGAAAAGCCCTTGATGTGGAAAGTGATGCAGGTCTCAGACGTTTACCATATTGGTGAAACCATATCGTATTGAAATGTACAAACTGGCTGTTCAAATTCAGATCCATGTTATATCACATGGTAAATCACATGATATCTTTCAAATACTATACTATGTTGAAATCAGCCTGTTCTAAAAAGATAGTTCTTAAAAGTCCCAACTTTATCAAAGTATTTTTTGGACATGTTTAAAGTCCACTCAAGTAAAATATGCTTGCCGGTGATTGGATTATTGCAATGGTCGGACTCATGCCGGTTAAATGTAGTGCTAGCCTACCGAGATACCATGCCGCAGTTTAACATTAATACCCTACTCAAACATGCAATACTGCCTCCGAGCCGACCAGTCTCTGTTTCATCCCCTTAATCTCCAGCGCCAGGCAGCGTAACAAATACCACCTTTTAACGTCTTTTGGTATGACGTGGCCAGGGGATCGAACCACCGCCATTCCGCTCTCCTGGCAAACGCTCTACATTCAAGTAATTAGTAAAATGACATTTTCAATATGGCCACCATAGCGACCATGTCTAAAATCGGACATTAATTCACTGATCAATTCTAAAGACATCACAACTGGGTTCACGCAGTATATAAGCCTTGTGGTTTTAGTGAAGCTGTAAAAGATATAAAATGTTCTATAAAAGTTTACGACGGAATGACGACTGGCAATTACCTCGCATGACTTAAGCTCCAGTGAACCTCAGCGAGACTGCCCCCACACGGGTTGTTATATATAACGATTGCGTGTCAATGGTGACCCTGTAGCATGGTTTGCTGCTGGTACAATCGGTCATTGGTTTGCATGGTGCCGACTCGATTATTTACAGGCTCTTGTGACAAAGCTGGAATAAAAACCCTAGGAAACACTAGACGAATATTGTAGAACAACAACGTGTTTCCAGGATGAAGATGATAAATATAAATTAATATTTTAAAGTGGAAGATGTTTTTTTCTACTCTCTTTTTGCAATAAGGTTTATTGACGGAGGCGACAGGCCCATCAGTTTATATTTTTTTCACAAGATATGAGTACAAGTTCCATACCACAAAACATGGTGAAAATTCAGAGAAATATTTTAGAGTAGTTTGCCATTTAATGTAGACGTTAGTACATTAAATATATTAAAGGATGGATGTTTCTTAATTCACAATAATTGCTACACATGAAAATTCACATGAAAATCTTCTTCTTCGTATTGAAACGCGACAAAAAAAAGTATCATTTAACACACGTCCTTGTTTTCCCACGAAAAATCAGTCATGAATTCGAATGAATCACGGTTATTTTTCATATTTTACGAACGCTTCACCATGGGACACATTTTCTTTCTTTGATTCATATGCAGTTTGTTTGAACATTCATAAAAAATATCATAGCGCTACGGCTATGTTAGACATGTGCAATGCGGCAGTTATACGACGGCTAGAGCGCTATATAACAACACTAGCGAGGCAAGTAATGAAGTAACTTGGTGTGGGTTGTTAAACGTGTTTTCCCTAAGAAATATCTATTCGTATTTAATTCCAGCTTCACTGGAATTTATTTTCTACAACGATCTAAATAATGAAGGCTAGGGCCCCGTTCCACATAGCGATATTTGCGCTAAGATGGTCGTAACTCCCAATCTTTAACATAGGCTTACAATGATCGTAGCGCTAAGATCGCTTTGGGGAACGGGGCCCAGATCTCTTTGAAACAAATTATCATACCAATTTATTCACAAGTTCAATGGCAATACTTATTTTTTTTACCCAGATTTCTCGTTCTGATTTGGCGACTGAGACGTGAGATAAGGGTTGCACAATATCACAGCTATATATAACGCAAAGTAATCGAGTCTTTACCAGATAGACGACCGTGTAAGGAAAATCGGGACGGCTCTCCCGAATTATGTATTTTATAACATAACAGTTATTCTGTATGAAAGACTAGTTATGGATATTAGACTCGAAATACATAAAGGTTTTTGTAAAAAAAATATATAATGAAACCATTTAATATGTTCATAAAAATCAAAATAAATTATCGAAATATTGAAGCCCAAAAGAATAACTTGTGCATTAGAAACGTCAACACACCAAATAAACAAAATCACGATCGTATTTGTCATATACATGTCAAAATACATTTCCGTGAAATTTCAATATTCCATCCAAAAATATATATTAATATTTAGTTAAACGATGTATTGACTAACACCCCTAATGTCTTCAAGAAGGCGACACGGGATGGGGCCATACAAAAGTATCCATGGCGACGTTCTAATGACGCAATCGCTTGTGACGTCAAAGTATGTTGACGTCATGAGCCGGTAATGAGTCAAACAGATGTGACATCTTGCTTCAATCACAAGGTGTGACCACGTGAAGTAAATCAACTTAGATAGTGAAACAATATGGACAAGAGTGACCCGGAAACCTCAGGTGACACAGCTAGTGAAATTGCCAGAGAGGGCGACACTCAAACCGAAAACGAGATCTATCTTGAGATTCTATCAGATCTATTTCCGGACAGTTCCAAGACTTTGGATAGTCAACCGGAGGATTTCAATGACAAACACAGTGAACCGACCGCCACCTCTGAAAACAACAACGAACCTGACCAACAACCAACGAGTTCTGTTCAGGATCTGCTGGCTCTGCTGTCCCAAGGTGGCATCAGCGAACATCAGTCCGATATCTCGTCACCATGCAGCGTTCCCGACTTTGACTTCTTCCACGACATCGCTAGTGACAATAGCATCGACTGGGAAACTGCCTCATCCAAAGCAATGTTGCAGATTGTGCAGACAGACCATCCATATCTAAGCCACACTTCTAGCAATCAAGAGGAAGAACAGGAACCATTCAAAACTACAAGCTGTTCATCCATTCCGGACGCTGAGTTAATTCATGATTTCTTTGTACATACAACAAACATGATAGCCTATCAGCCAATAGGAGACATAGGGAACCACTGCCGGCCTGTACACATCACCCCAACTACCCTGATAGGTTGTCCTGAACTAACCCAGCCATCTGTTGTGGATGAGCAGTTGCAGAACCGTGTGACAACCCCTGATTCGCAAATATCTAAAATGTCGCCAACGGCTCTTTCGTCCACCGCGAAGATACTCACCATCACAAGCGAGAATGCTTCTAAAGTCATCCAGTCACGACCTAAGTTAGTACAGAGAGAAAGCAAAATGACCACTGATACACCATGGAAACAAGCTGCATCATTTGGTCTTCATCCCTCCAAACTTCATAGAAACACTTCAACATCCTCAGAATCTCCACCTCCGACTGTACAACATCATGTACATGACGACAAGATGCAAAACACATTACCCCAAAAACAAGTGGAAACAAAAAATAAACCACAAGATGCCGAGACAAGTACGGACAAAGCCACACTTGACAATAACCTATCAAAAAATGGGGCTGATGAAAATAATTTCAAGGACCCTGAAAGCTGCCAAAGCTTGAACAGCGGATCGTCTGTTGAACAAACAGGTATTGCACTTACAACCCTCGGAGAGACTGAATGCCTTAGCGAGACCGATGTCAAAGCCCTATGGACGGCCGAATGTAAAGCCGTGTTTGAGAAAGTCCAGGAGGAGAGCCTTCTAAACTGTGCCCTTACTCTTCTGCTCAAAGGGTGGGAGAATTATATGTCCTTGACCTTTGAAGAGGTCCAACAACTTGAGATAGATGCGGCACGTGAGATGAAGTACAGTGATGAAGTCGTGGAAATGCTGGAAGACAAGGATAGATATGTATGGCAGATTATTGAAGAAATGGAACCAAGGGATTTTTCGGTGAATTGGTCCTAACGCTTTTTAAAAAACTATTTTATAGTAATGTTATAATCATGTTCGTGGCTTAAAACTGGTTTTGATATGAGTGATAATTCTAATTAATGGATTTTAATTCTACATACGATTTATAGGAAATGTACAAATGTATACTTTTTCAGGTTTTACAGATATATGGCCATTTCACTTTATGAATGATGTAAATATTCCACAGCTTATCATAAGAAATAAATAGCTTAATTAACAGTGGATTATCTGTGTATTTGTTTTATTAAAGGGCATTCGTGACCAACTCGTGTTATTCAGGGACAAGCCGAGAATCTTCTTGCAGGTTACGGAAAGGGGCGAGTGGTGACGAATGTGTTGATGGGTTTAAAAAAACAAGGGAGGCCACTCCCACATAATATCTCTATTTTACGGAGCTTCATTTGAAACATTTCAATAGGCACAGTATTGATTGGCTCAGGAAAAGATCCTGTCAGTGAGATTGTCATATGAAACATCCATCAAATTTCATTTTGAACATTTAAAAACAACACTTGGGTGTGGGTGTTAATTAGAGTCATATATGTAGCAATATTCCAGCAGTATTATGACTTCAGAAAACATCTTCACACATATACCCATGTGATGGATCAAATCCAGGTTATTTCGGCTGACAAGGAAACACTCTAACCACTAGACTACATCACCTCCAACCCTTGAAATAGGGTCACGAGATGGGGCCTGTAAATAATCTAGGCTGAACCAGACAATCCGGTGATTCATATCATGATCAAAACAACCCATGTGGCCTGAGTACGTGGACACGTGGTCACCCAAGTTACTAATAAATTTAGTTGCCTTTTAGAACCAGCAGGGGTTGCTGGGGATAATTTCTAACCACAAGACACCTCAGGGCCCATGATTCAAGTTGGTGATTTGGTTTAGTACCCATTATCTCTTCAAGAAAGAAAATTACACTTGATCTTAGGGGCAATACTGCACTTGTAGAATCAATTGTGCCCAAAATATTTTCAGTATCCAGAGTTTGAAAATAAGGCACAAACAAAGAAGGAATCAAGTCGCAGCCTGTAGTACAGTTGAGACAAGTGTTGCTATATTCCTCACATTTACCACAGTAAGTGCCCCACAGCAATAACCAGCCCCTGACCAAATTCTGGACCAATTTGCAAGTTATCTTTACATACACCCAGTACTCTGCCCGAAAGTTTACACAACAGTTTTTTTATATAACACTCATACTTTCCAGGATGCAGACACTGAGTTTCTTTCCATCTTTGGAATTAAAGCAGTAATGATGTGGGTCATTGTATCCCTTGAGCACCTTGATTAAATACATGAAAAGATTTGGAAAATATCTGTTGATGCCGAGTTGGCGGTACACGTCCTTTGCAAATCCTGCAATCGAGTGAAAATCTGCATGGGAGTTTACGAACCAGATATCGACTTTGTTACACGATTTTGATTTGACTATGCATTGACTCGTTTGTCCAGCCAAAGTATAACTCCATAATAACAGTTTTCAGTATGGTCAAAATTTGCAAAGGTCAAAATTAAAAATATTGCAAGAAATTTAACATACATGTCAGCCCCACAACTAACAACACAGGAAATACAATTAAAGTTGTCAATCAGCTTGTCTTGTAAACTATTATTTCCACAGTTTTAGTGTCTTCGGCACTGGACCAACTTTGTTCTCTCCTTCTCGGACGCCAAATTTAACTTGTGTATGGTCTTCATAAGTGTTCCTGTTTTGCAATTTTCTAAGCGCTTTTTATGGCAGATGATGTTCAAATGGCTTCATTTAAAAAATAACACATGAAGAAGATGTATTTTGTTTCACTTCAAATCAGTTTAATCACAAGCTGTGAAAAAACACAATAATCTAAATATATTGTAATTTACATACTGTTTTTATATTTACAGTAACCACAATATCAATGAGTTGATTGAAATTTGTTGTCTTCTTCAAACAGATGTACAATTATTGCAGCCATAGAATCAAGCACAAGACAAATGGAAAATATGTACATCTTCCTCAGAGTTGTGTGTCCTGCCTTCCATAGCTGGCGAATACTTCAAATGATAATTCGTTTACAAGTTCTTGGCCTCTAAGTGCCCTATGCCTGCAGTAAAAGCTTAACATTGTGACATGACATTGTTGCAGCAAGAGGATCAGTCTCACAAACAGAATTCATTTCTCTTCTACGTGTATAAACATTTGAGGGCCATGTTCGACAAAGAAATCTTACTGCTAAGACAATTGTAACTCCCATACGTGAACACTGACACCAAGATGACTCTGTGGAATGGGGTCGACTTAGATAATGGATACTCCATTACGTGACCACTGACACCGAGATAACTCTGTGGAATGGGGCCGACTAAGGCAATCCTAACTCCATTACATGAACACTGACACCGAGATCACCTTGTGGAAGGGGCCGACTAAGGCAATCGTAACTCCATTACATGAACACTGACACCGAGATCACCTTGTGGAAGGGGCCGACTAAGGCAATCGTAACTCCCATATGTGAACACTGACAGCAACATCACTCTATGGAATGGGGTCGACTTAGATAATCTAACTCAATTACTTGAACACTGACATCGTGATCACTGTGGAATGGGGCCGACTAAGGCAATCGTAACTCCCATACATCAACACTTACACCAAGATGTCTCTGTGGAATGGGGTCGACTTAGATAATCGTAACTCCATTCCGTGAACACTGACACTGGGATAACTCTGTGGAAAGAGGATCAGTCTCACAAACAGAATTCATTTCTCTTCTACGTGTATAAACATTTGAGGGCCATGTTCGACAAAGAAATCTTACTGCTAAGACAATCGTAACTCCATTACGTGAACAATGACAGCGAGATCACTCTGTGGAATGGGGCCGACTTAGATAAACGTAACTCACAAAGTGAACATTGACACTAGACTCAAAGGTTGTCTTAGCAGAACTTGTCATAACAATGCAATTTATTACATAGTTTGTCAAACTGACATGATTCAATAAGGAAGTAAGTCAGTGAATGTTATTTAATTTATATATGTTCTCAGTAAGCACAGGCACTTCCTACCAATCTGAAGTGGAGTGGTAACCACTGCACTTACCTTATAATTTAAGCCTCACTGTGAGAAATGAATTCAAATATCTATTAATGATTGACCTGATTATCCTTATAAATATTAAAAGTCACAACCAGTACCCATCAATGTACTTTTAGCACAACCATTATGCCTGACAAAGTTGACAAATATTCCAACAATAGTGAACACAGGTTGAGAAAATGGAATTAAGGAATTGCATTCAAATTGTGGCTTATATCAGAGTCATCAATAATACAGCCATGTTGCTCAATCCATCAAATTATACAGAGAAACCAGTCGTAAATACTGTGAACACAATTTCCGGTAATTCACAATGTTAGAACTGGTAACTTGTTAGAACTTGAGGGTTGGTCGACCAACTGGTTCACAGATCCAAGACCAATCCACTGTATCCTTATTCTGTTCTGGAAACACCAGATTTTTACCTAGTAGTTTGAGGAGGCACTTCAGCATTAAGTGTAAGCATATTCCTCTGTCTTAACCTCAGCTGTACACTGACCATATCTCATCCGTTACCACACTTAGGACAGCAGTGGAACATTTCATAGCTTTAGTCCTGATGCCAGCACACTTCTGAAGGTGAAATCCACTAGGAGCTGTCTAGGACACCAAGTCTGACATATTCCCCTGTGATGTCGATATTAGCCAGTTCCTTCCACCGGTCCAACCAGATCTGATGAAGACATTCTACATCCACCTTATCAAGATGGGAGCATGTGAAGACAAGACCCCGGAGAGGATGCAGTTGGTTGCTCAGCTTGTCATTGACAGCATCCAGAAAATTGGAATCTAAGGGAGACTTTATTGCACAGCCCTGAGCAAGCAACTCCTCGAGGGAGCAGTTATTTTTCCCAGACTCTTGAAGGAGTTCCTGTATAACACTGTTATCCACCTTTGTGTTACAGGAGATGTCCAGCCTCTTCAGACCCTTGTACAGTGATGGCACTCTGAAACATGGACTGACTTATGAATAACTATTTATCCTTGTGAGGTCAATTACCCACAGACCAACTTCAGATAGCAGTCCTAGCAAGTCTGACTCAAACAATAACAAACCCACCTTGCCTGTTTGCTCAAATGGTATGATTCAGTCAATCTCGGAGTTTCATACAGGGTGCTACTACAGTATCAATGCCTGGACCCTGGGGCAGACCATGCAACATTATCCCTCTCTACACATTCCATTTCTGTCATCCTAATGTAGGGCCTCCACCTTCATAAGCCTTTGAACAACACTTTCTTTCGAAAGAGTATCTATCAGTTATTTAAACCACTACTTCCACATGCACTTGCAGATAACTAAACATATCATTTTGAGACTGAAATATTTGAAGTAATGTTTAGGTATTACACATGCCATGTGTCTTATGAGAGAGTGAGTGAGTATGGTTTTACACCGCTTTTAGCAATATTCCAGCAACATCATGACGGGGGACACCAGAAATGGGTTTCACACATTGTTCCCAAGTTGCGATTCGAACCCGGGTCTCCGACGTGACGAGTGAACGCTTTAACCACTAGGCTACCTGACCGCCCCTATGTGTCTTATGAAGAAATGTCAAGCTGTTTTACATATGGTATTGTCCAATCACCTGGTAACAAAGTAACCATCATCTGATGTGAAGTGGCAGGCAGATAGATGAAGATCCTCCAGAATACACCCATCCTAAAGGCAAAACAATTAGTTACAAACTGATCAAATAACAGCCACAAGGACAGGAAGATAAATTGCCGATATTTGCACATGTGCATTTGAGCAATTCCCAATGCTGATTGATCAGTTAAATGATATGATGTCATACGGCTCTATAGTTGAGAACAATATCTGACATCGTTCTCCACTGTACCTGACATCACAAACTTACAGCATTAGATCATTTAATCAATAGGTTAACTTTAGATTATCAGGTTATATATGGAACAACCAACTCAGAATTACTTATTAGATGCCCCTCATTAATGTATGCTGTCAGTTCCTTGCCAAGAGTAAGGCTTACAATAATCCTACATTGGGGACCGATAATCTTACATTCCTTGCAGCTTGATTGTCATTCTCTAATTTTTGTTCCCGGAAATGTGAACTTATGAACCTAAAGCCTTGCAGTCTACCTGAGTAAGATACTGCTGCAGATGAAGCGTGAGATGGCTGACGCTGGTCCCGGCGTGTGTCTCGGACAGGTTGAGAGTTGTCATCCGTCGGTGATTCAGGCACTTCAGCAGCTGCTCCAGGCCTAGGGATCCAAGTCGGTTGTGGGACACGTCCAGTTTCTGCAGATTTGAGGCTGAAAATATAATTAATCAACATGAAATCTGTTCTGTCTCAATATCTTTGTCATGTTAACATATCATGATATATATTAATTGGCATGCCAGAAAAAGAATATATCATTACAAAAATTGAGAATGAACCCACCTTGCATGGCATCTGCAAGTGCCAGTCTGTGCTGAGAGAAGAACTTCGCTGTCAGTTGGCAAGCTGACACAGAGAGGTCAGTGAGAGAAGGGAGACAACTCAGTAGGGTTGCCAAGTAGTTGGTAGAGTTATCTCCCATGGAGTTGTGAGAGTAGACCAAAGTTACAAGTGACTGAAATAGATATGAATAATGTACTGATCAGATTATGGCATGCTCATGAATGGTTCTGTCACAATTAGTATCTATATTGGAATCTGTGAAGAAATGCAAGAATTATATTCCCCTGACCCCTGTCTTCAGCAACCCATGCTTATCGTAAAAGGCGACTGTGCTTGTCGCATGAGGCGACTAATGGGATGAACAAAGTTTCCGGCATGTAAAAAACAATTCGCACAAACACATCCCAGCATCACTATAGTCACTACCCGAACAAATGGGTCACACACTGTTCTCCCATGCACAGCGAGGTAGGGAGCAGCTGTGCGGTGGAGGAACGTCACAGTAGGGCCCCCCCCCCCTGGAGGAACCCGAACCGGAAGCGAAGAAGCAGATCAGGAGCAACTCTGGGAATGGTGATCTGTGCGTATAGCTGTGATGATGATGAACAGCTATAAGCGCCAAATAGAGAGAACCAGGCGTACATTTGTTGTTGTTGTCAGTGTTGCAGGGGACCAAGGTTTAGCAGCAGCAGCATCTGCCCAACATAGACGCATCCACTGTAATGGTGGTGGGGACACGTGGTCTGCTGGCCTTCTTCGACTTGAAAGATGAAGCTTTGGGTTTAGCTTTGATTTCTTTTCAGAATCCTGGGGTTTAGAACGCCTGTCCACTTCTCGGGGATGACACTTGTGCAGATACAAATTAAAGGATATGTTCATAAGATGTTGGCATTCAGAACACCGCTTGCCTGCACTGCAACAACTTGTATGTGTCCGACAGAAAACATGTTGGCATTCTAAGCAGGTGGGGAGGATCCTTCTTACTCATTTCCCTTGATGTGGATTGTATTTGTAGGTAGGGAAACCGAAATGTATTCTCTAACACTGATCATACATGTCTCCACAGTGTGGCGATGAGCAGGAAAATGATGTGGAAGGGGTAAGCATGTGATCAGATCATGTAGATTGCTATGCACAGGAGGACAGTGCATGACCATTGCTGGGATGTGTTCGGGTGAATTGTTATTATAGAAGCAGGAAACTATGTTCAAGATGTTCCCCCATATGATCGAAGAAGAAAGAAGAGATGCATAGTGTGAGATAAAATAAGTTTAAAAAATAAATGAAAACTAGTCCACCATTCAAAACTGGAAATATGGATCACTGTGTTTCTGGTCGCAACATTGGAGACATAATTATATAATATACCTCATTACTCACGGTCTCATCCATTTAGTTTGGACCTACCTGTAGAGGCCTACTGCCTGACTGTTGGCCTGCCTCCAGTGTGTCAGTGAAGCTCTTCAATCCAACTGTTGTGATGTCATTCCCACACACATTGAGATATGTAAGACCAGGGAGGGAACACACAGACCTCGACAGCACGGACATTCCATTGTCACCAAGACGATTACCTACAATGAGATTTGTGTATACTTTCATTCAAAACACCTTGATGCCAAGGATGGAAATTACTAGTGTGAACCATGCAAGCCCCAGTGACCGGGAATTTCTATCTACACCATCAAGGCAAGATGATATGCACTTGCTCATCCGTTAGGAATAATAGAGTGCTTGAATCTGTGAAGGACTGATACATAGGTCTTTGTCAACCTAATAACTAGATACAGCAAAATTAAATGAGACACTTGACTTTTGTGACAGACTGTGGACAGTCAGTCTGGCATTATTGTGGAGCAAATTGTTCTGTTTGGACAGATATATCTTGCACTGTAGATGTTTAGAATAATTTGACATTTTCAGTTTCAGTTTCTGTAACACCAATAACCACTTCCAGACTTTTCAGACATTGACATTCCTATGTACATACTTCATTATATGATAAAGGACATGTCATCATAGTTATGTATTGGAGAAAACACACTCACAAGGTTTAGGTAGACACAGCATGCCCTGGGGAGAGGGAAAAACCAAGGGGGCGAAGCAGGTCAAGGTCAAGGTGTGGACTTACTCTGCAGGTCAAGGTGTGGACGTACTCTACAAGTCAAGTTGTGGACTTACTCTGCAGGTGAAGGTGTGGACGTACTCTACAGGTCAAGATGTTGACTTACTCTGCAAGTCAAGGTGTGGACTTACTCTGCAGGTCAAGATGTTGACTTACTCTGCAGGTGAAGGTGTGGACTTACTCTACAGGTCAAGGTGTTGACTTACTCTGCAGGTGAAGGTGTGGATGTACTCTACAGGTCAAGGTGTGGACTTACTCTACACGTCAAGGTGTGGACTTACTCTGCAGGTCAAGGTGCTTCATGTTATTCTGTCCCTCCAGGGCGCGACATACCGGATGGATCTGGTTGGACCTCAACGCCAGATTCCGTAGGGATAGGCAGCCTGTACTGTCACATGATTGCAGCAGGCTAACAATGTTCCGATACTCCACTGGAAGAAAACAATACAGTAGACTTTCAGTCTGACAAATAATTACTCAACTTCTCAGGATCTTATAATCAAACACTTTCTTAGCTTGACAGTTTCCAAATCCATACATCACATTTAATCTAAGAGTAATATTTGTGTTGCGTTCAACCTAAAAAGTTTTGCCAACAAATACCTAAAATATAAGAATAGAAACATTCGGGCAATCAAAAACTTAAAACCCCTTCTGTTAACTGAAGCTTGTTTTTCTGGAGAGATATAATGTTGACTGGTGTACTCCTACCTGCCCGGGTCAGTCGGCAGGCCTGTCTGTATCTGTCATGCAGCGGTTGCATGTCCCAGCTGTCGACCACGGCATCCACCTGCACACACCCCACAGTGTTACACCATAGAACACCTTACAGTGTTACACCATAGAACACCTCATAGTGTTACACCATAGAACACCTCAGTGTTACACCATAGAACACCTCACAGTGTTACACCATAGAACACCTCAGTGTTACAACATAGAATACCAAACAGAGTTACACCATAGAATACCTCACAGTGTTACACCATAGAACACCTCAGTGTTACACCATAGAACACCTCACAGTGTTACACCATAGAATACCTCACAGTGTTACACCATAGAACACCTCAGTGTTACACCACAGAACACCTCACAGTGTTACACCATAGAATACCTCACAGTGTTACACCATAGAACAATTCAGTGTTACACCATAGAATACCTTATAGTGTTAAGCCAGAGAATACCTCACAATGTTACAACATAGAACACCTCACAGTACTTTCATGACAATTCACATAAATTGGCTATAATTAGACTCCCTGTTGCCTCTGTCTGGGTCCTTTTTTATCTATCATTTTTGTATTCAGGAAATCTAGAATACTTTAGAGAAAAATCTCAGATAACAAAATAAGTTTTCTGAGTTCCTGGAGCTACTTTACTGAAACAGATTAATCAGCTCCCACCCAAGTCCACACTGCCACTGGTCATGCTCATTGTCCTATACACGGACGTACATACATATATACGTCTTTGTCCTATACGACATCTTTTTAGCAATGAACAATTTATTGAGCAATTAAGTTTTGAATTAAGTATTTAATCTCCACTTGTTCTAGTTTTACTTCTTAACTGTATAAAAGGGATATATAAGGGTACATTTCAATGAAAACTGAATAACAGAATCCCGACTAAGCATAAATAATTGTCTCATTCCCTTAACCATGTTAACCTGCCACTAAACAAGAGACATGTCTACTAATTGTGATTTCTAAGGACTTACCACTTCATTGTTACTGAGAACCATACACACAACATCATCTGGGGACAGGATGGCACCATCACGAGTCCTCAGTGTCACCAGAGGTTTCTTCTGGTGAATCTTCTCATACCGTCGAGAGACATCCTGGGCCAGCCATGAGATGCTCTGATTGCTACAGTGAAAGCAATCAATCAATATTTTCATACAATGTATCTGCAAACAAAAGCATGTAAACAGGATACAACTCTACAGTGATCTACTTATCCCAGTATATGGATATCACTTAAAGGGACAGAGCGTCCATGGTTCTGTATGTTTTTAAATCATGCATGAAATAATTCCCGAGTGTGACATCACATGCCTGATTTGACTCGCAAACCTAAACAATATAGTTCCGCACAGCGAAGCCAACAATGCAAGCCCTGGGCAGAGTAAACTGGCTTCAGTTGTTTGAGGCAAATTGAAGAGAAAGCTTCGTGCTTGGTTTTCGTGCAGATGAGTTACAAAGTATCAACTGCCAGCTTGATTAGATTAGAAGCCAGTGTATATGGAGCCTAAATTACAACATAAATATGTTCGGCCAGCCTAGACCCTCTGTCAAATTGTCACATCTTACATGTGTTTCTCATCCCTTCATTTTGGACGAGTCTACACACTACTTTCGTAGTTTCATTGAGAGAATATCCTAAAATGTGAAATACTATTTCCATTTGTGTATTTATCCTTCATGTCCAGTCATCGAAGCCCCACGGAGAGCTAGCGATACAGTCACTTTGATGTGTAAAGCTATATTGTCATGCACCTCACTGTCGCAGTTGTAGTATATCTATATAATTAAGCAAATATTATCTCTATATAGATAAACATAACTTTCATTCAGAAAATATCCTAAAACAAAAAATACAATTTCCATTTGCGTATTTATTCTTCACATCAGGTCATCGAAGCCCCATGCACCTCACTGTCATAGTTGCTTCTAGTATGTCTATATAATTATGCACAACAATATGTAAAGGGCACCAAAAGTCTTACATTAGGCTGTCTGTACTTATTTCAAAGTAAGTGCGTTTGTGTACAAACAAGAGAAAAGTCTGGACACGCCATAAGCCTCCACTGGAGCAGAACATTCTGTCATAGATTATGGCAAGCAGAGCAGACAAAGCTCAGGAGTTATCGGCTATTGTTTACAAACAGAGCTTCAGAACAGTCGATGTCCAGTCCCTTTACACCTACCCTGAAGTGTAGGAATAAGTTCAATTCAGCAAGTATTTCTTTAGTAATCCTGTAAACAAACATTTCAAAAAAGGGTATGACCTCAAAATTGACCATGACCAATAAAATAAATAAGCGTGTCAAAAGATTCACGACCATAAATGGTCCTTTCTAATTTGCTATCCTTGATTGTGCCTCATCACCTATTGGTTTGCATACAAAAGGCAGACAAATTCCAGCAAGCCTTGTATCTACAATATTGATGCCTTTGATTCCAAATACGTGAATTTGACCTACATATCTGGAACTGGAACCAACAACATCTGCCCATCAATAGTGACCTTGAGTCTCATGACCCCAGTGGAGGTCAAGGTCTCGTTCTGATGTGTAGATTGAGGAAGACCAGTGCCTTCATGATCAGCCGTTGTTGAAAACCCATTTTGAGAAGGTCCAAACTCATCAATATTTTCCCTCTGAAATCCGGAAAAGCTTTTTTGTGTGCTTCTGTTTTCCTGAGTTGTAAAGTTTGTCAACTTCATCTGCCTTGGCTTGGTTTTGGTTGACAGTTTTGATCGATTTGCTGAGCTCTGACTTTGCACAATACTGTCACTATTGACACTAAAACTTGACATAACAAAATCCTCCGTAAAATCATCCACACTCAACACATCCGAGTTTGATGGAGCTGCCTCCATTCTATTATCACTGGCTCCACTGTCATCATCAACATCATCATCAATCACAAAACATTTCCTTCGGGATGTATCACATTTTTGTCGTTTTGAATCTGTTGATTTCCGTGACCCAGAGGTAGAAAACACTCCTCCAATATCCAACTTCTTTCTTTTCTGAGGCTGAATGTCATCGATAAGCCAATCATCTCCAACAAAATGATCTGCATCTAACAAAGCGCTTGAGTCAGTGTGAGTCTTGGGAGTGGCAGATTTATCATACACTGATCCTCGGACAGCAGCTCTTTGTGATGCACTGCCAATCCCGGATATGGCGTAGCGGTAGTTGTCTGTAGCACTGCTGTGTGGACCCAAGTCCTCCAGGCGAGGATTAGGGTAGAAATCCTGACTGTCTGTCTCAGGCAGGAGAGACACTTCCTGATCACTGAAACACACAGGCTGCAAGTACTAGTACACCACAAGGCATAGCATCAGAGTTGAGTTAACATTGTTAAAACAGTACTTCAGTCATATCACAGAGTTGAGTTAACATTGTTAAAACAGTACTTCAGTCATATCACAGAGTTGAGTTAACATTGTTAAAACAGTACCTCAGTCATATCACAGAGTTGAGTTAACATTGTTAAAACAGTACTTCAGTCATATCACAGAGTTGAGTTAACATTGTTAAAACAGTACTTCAGTCATATCACAGAGTTGAGTTAACATTGTTAAAACAGTACTTCAGTCATATCACAGAGTTGAGTTAACATTGTTAAAACAGTACTTCAGTCATATCACAGAGTTGAGTTAACATTGTTAAAACAGTACTTCAGTCATATCACAGAGTTGAGTTAACATTGTTAAAACAGTACTTCAGTCATATCACAGAGTGTCAGCTCCATGTGGAAGGAAACCCCCAAAGAGATTTGGTGTTTGACATTTACCACTTTGGTGAAAGCCACCTGCCTTTTATTGAGTTGACAAACAAGGGATCAGTCAGGCTGCCACTAGGATTCTAACCCAGGATCAGACCCTGACAATTTGCAGGACCATAGATGAATGGGCCAGCCTTACCCCAATCCTCATTAAAATCAGATTTTAGTGCTCACTACTCTAGTGCTCACTAGATCTTAGGACATCCTATAAAAGGTCACATCAAAATGACCATTCGCAGTGTTTGACCAACCAATGAAGATCTAACAAAAAATCAACACTAGCCAATCAGAAAGCAGCTTTCCTGAGCTTCACAGCACTAGTTTCAAACTATATCGATTCAAAGAAAATCAAATCTGGAATGTCTAATAGATGCCAAGAATGTATGGCAGTACTTCCCATTGGCTGTGGAAAGTCTCTTCCGTTTCAAATGTTTATCCCATGATTTTAAAAGAATCAGTTGTACAGCCAGTACTGTCATTTGGAATACCCCATATTAACCTTTACGACTGTCACTTTTCTGTTCTGGTAAGCAATGATTGGTCAGATAAAAGTCATTCTGACGTAACCTGTAATGAGATGTCCTTAGATCTTAGTGGTAGCGAGAATTAAGATCTGTTTTTAATGAGATTGCCCATGTGCCCACATATCCGTTACGTTTCATTTCAGACAAAATAAAAGAGTGAGTATTCTTTTTGAAATAACACAAGGGAAACAAAAGACAGCGAGATGTGAATTCTAAGAAATCCCTGCTTGACTAACCTGCCTCCTTCTTCACTGTCTGAAGCAATCACAGCACGGGAGGATTTACTGAAAAATGAAGTAGGTAGATGAAACTAAGAAATACTCAAAGTCCAGTGAAAGGATTCTGAAGGTAAGAATCAACAAATATCTGTCAGGCTTCAAATACAAAACAGTTTCACCTGCCACCAGTGGAGGTTCTTTTCCTCTTGACTGTGACCTTGACCTCTGGTAACGTCTGACTTTCTCTGCTGCTGTCATCATCATACAGGTCAAGGAGAGCTGGAGGTTGTGACCTGTCTAAAGGTCTCGTGTTCGTCCTTGGCATCTGACCACCTGTAATGCGAGAGTGGGTGAGTATCTTCTTTGTTGCCATAAATAGTATAACATACAAATCAAGGTCAGCACAATGTATCAGAATAGTTGTTCAACACTGACCCTACTTCCATGTTGTTTATGTAGCAGCCATAACATTTCTGAATCCTGTGAAGGGATTCGAACAACAGACCTTCTGATCCGAGGTCGGACACCTTGTCCACAACCAAAGAGTTTAACCCTGTCAGCAAGCTGACAAGGTACGGATGTCATATGTGGGATGGCTTCAAACTTTAACATGCAAAAGGTTATTATACCACAAAAATACACAGATAAAAGTATCATTGGTGCCAGTTTCCTGTTAAGCTATGAACAAACAAAAGGTCACAATAAATTGATTTATTTGATTTTCATCCCAATTTTGGAGAGAATAATGTTTCTAAACACAACCTGTTCACAGCATGTGTGTATATGAACTGTCAACAGTTATCCACATGAAGCATGAGTGTTTGGTATGACTATGTACGTGTTGTATTTCATCAAGTGAAGAATGAAGAGAACACACATGATGTCTGATGATACTTTGAGTGAATAACATTATGTAAGGCGGGTGTCTATAAGTGAAGCAGGCAAGGATGCAAATCTGCTAATTTCCATAAGTGGCAGAAGTATTTTCATCACAGATGTCATGGGCATGACCATGTAGCAATGTAAAGTAGCAATGTAAAGAAGCAATGTAAAGTAGCAATGTAAAGAAGCAATGTAAAGTAGCATTGTAAAGAAGCAATGTAAAGTGGCATTGTAAAAAAGCAATGTAAAGAAGCAATGTATAGTGGCATTGTAAAAAAGCAATGTAAAGAAGTAATGTAAAGTAGCAATGTAAAGAAGCAATGCAATGTAAAGTAGCAATGTAAAGTAGTAATGTAAAGAAGCAAAGTAATGCAGCAAAGTAAAGAAGAAATGTAATGTAAAGTAGCAATGTAAAGTAGCAATGCAATGTAAAGTAGCAATGTAAAGTAGCAATGTAAAGAAGCAATGTAAAGAAGCAATGCAATGTAATGTAGCAATGTATGGTAGCAATGTAATGCAGCAAAGTAAAGTAGCAATGCAATATAAAGTAGCAATGTAAAGTATCAATGTAAAGAAGCAATGTATGGTAGCAATGTAATGCAGCAAAGTAAAGTATCAATGTAAAGTAGCAATGTAAAGAAGCAATGTAAAGTAGCAATGTAATGTAGCAATGTAATGTAGCAATGTAAAGTAGCAATGTAATGTAGCAATGTAAAGTGAGTGAGTGAGTGAGTGAGTTGGGTTTAACGCCACTTTTAACAGTATTACAGTTATATCGCGGCGTGTCAGCTTAATGTGGGAGGAAAGCCCGAAGTGATGCAGGTTTCAGACGTTTACCACTTCGGTGAAACCCACGACTTCGGGTATGGTGCTGACAAACCTAGAAACATAATCGGGCGAACTGGGATTCGAACCCACAATCATAGGTTTCTGGCGTGCCCAAGGGACGCAACTCTGCACAGCGAATTGCGGCGCCTTAGACGACTGGGCCACCCGTGCCCCCAGCAATGTAAAGTAGCAATCTAAGGTAGCAATGTAATGTAACAAAGTAATGTAGCAATGTAAAGTAGCAATGTAAAGTAGCAATGTAATGTAGCAATGTAAAGTAGCAATGTAATGTAGAAATTTAATGTAGCAATGTAAAGTAGCAATGTAATGTAGCAATGTAAAGTAGCAATGTAATGTAGCAATGTAATGTAGCAATATAAAGTAGCAATGCAAAGTAGCAATTTAATGTAGCAATGTAAAGTAGCAATGTTATGTAGCAATGTAAAGAAGCAATGTAATGTAGCAATGTAATGTAGCAATGTAATGTAACAATGTAATGTAGCAATGTAATGTAGCAATGTAAAGTAGCAATGTAAAGTAGCAATGTAATGTAGCAATGTAATGTAACAATGTAATGAAGCAATGTAATGTAGCAATGTAAAGTAGCAATGTAATGTAGCAATGTAATGTAACAATGTAATGTAGCAATGTAATCTAGCAATGTAAAGTAGCAATGTAATGTAGCAATGTAAAGTAGTAATGTAATGTAGCAATTTAATGTAGCAATGTAAAGTAGCAATGTAATGTAGCAATGTAAAGTAGCAATGTAATGTAGCAATGTAATGTAGCAATATAAAGTAGCAATGCAAAGTAGCAATTTAATGTAGCAATGTAAAGTAGCAATGTTATGTAGCAATGTAAAGAAGCAATGTAATGTAGCAATGTAATGTAGCAATGTAAAGTAGCAATGTAATGTAGCAATGTAAAGTAGCAATGTAATGTAGCAATGTAATGTAACAATGTAATGAAGCAATGTAATGTAGCAATGTAAAGTAGCAATGTAATGTAGCAATGTAATGTAACAATGTAAAGTAGCAATGTAATGTAGCAATGTAAAGTAGCAATGTAATGTAGCAATGTAATGTAGCAATGTAATGCAGCAAAGTAAAGTAGCAATGCAATGTAGCTATGTAAAGTAGCAATGTAATGAAGCAATGTAAAGTAGCAATGTAATGTAGCAATGTAAAGTAGCAATGTAATGTAGCTATGTAAAGTAGCAATGTAAAGTAGCAATGTAAAGTAGCAATGTAATGTAGCAAAATAAAGTAGCAATGTAATGTAGCAATGTAAAGTAGCAATGTAATGTAGCAATGTAATGTAGCAATGTAAAGTAGCAATATAATGTAGCAATGTAAAGTAGCAATGTAATGTAGCAATGTAAAGTAGCAATGTAATGCAGCAAAGTAAAGTAGCAATGTAAAGTAGCAATGTAATGTAGCAATGTAATGTAGCAATGTAAAGTAGCAATGTAATGTAGCAATGTAATGTAGCAATGTAAAGTAGCAATGTAATGCAGCAAAGTAAAGTAGCAATGTAAAGTAGCAATGTAATGCAGCAAAGTAAAGTAGCAATGTAAAGTAGCAATGTAATGTAGCAATGTAATGTAGCAATGTAAAGTAGCAATGTAATGTAGCAATGTAAAGAAGCAATGTAATGTAGCAATGTAAAGTAGCAATGTAATGTAGCAAGAAAGTGCCATGCCACACAAGCCTAGAGTTATCTCCCCTCACCTTTCAGCCCACCTGACAGCATGGCCTCTATGTGGGAGTAAGACAACTGCACCTCTCGGCTTAGTGTGTCCTCACAACGTTGATACCACGCTCGCAGGCAGTCTAGTGCTGTTTGACCCTAGGGGAAAGAATAATGTTCTGGTACAGGTCTGTTCTATATCCATTAGGGCTGGGACGATACACAACATTGTGATGCAATAATCACTAAACGTCATGATACGGAAAGAATGATAGATGAGACAAGCTTATGAAAATAACAACTGTAAGTCCAAAGTCCAATTTAACTTGAGGAAACATACAAACAGTCAAACACTGAATAATGCAGCGATGTACTGAAATATAAAATGACCAGCCACAACAACAGTAACATACCACTAAGCAAGTAACATATCATACTGTCTCCATACATCAATCTACCCCACAATACAGGTGTCAAGCCATGGAGTGTCACGATGCATTGATGTTTAATATTCATCCAACCCCTAATATCAATAAAGGTTTGTATTAGGAAAAAATCGCAAACAAGTGGCAGGGGTGGTAAGTAGATGAGGGGTTTGCCTCCATAAAGTGAGTATGAACTCACGATGCCATTTAGAAAGTGGTCAAATGTAACAAATGTTCTATTTGGGATAACACTTTCTGAGTAAAGTACAGATTCTCGTACTTTTTGGGGTTGAGTCTCGTCCGGGATTTGTACCCACATTGCCAGAGTGAGGTACCTAATCGCCAGCACACAAAGTCCGCGATCTAACCCACTCAGCCACCGAGGCTTCCTCAAAATGAAAGTCTGACAACTGGCAGTCTAGATCACGTACTTTGTGTAACCCTCTGACATGTTTAAAATGGCACGGCTCCCATGGCCGAAAGCTATGAACACACAATGCCATTTAGAAAGTGGTCAAATGTAACAAATGTTATATTTGGGATAACTCTTTCTGAGTAAAATACAGATTCTCGTATATTAGTCAAAATACATGCATACAATAATAATAATTTCATGATAAATGCCATGTTTGCACTAGTAGTCCCAAATGTTTCGGGCACAGGCTGGGATGCAGTCAGTCTAATGTCTGAGAGTTGATCTTTCAAGGTGATTATCAACCAACTACCACCCACAGTTAGATGTCAACAAATTATAATCATATACAGTTGTAAGACAAATATTCGAAACTAATCTGGAGAGGTCGGTCAAAGTGTGCCCAGATCATGTCTAGCTTTCGCGCCTCATCATGAGATGTCAGTCAAAGTGTGCCCAGATCATGACTAGTGTTCGCACCTCATCATGAGATGTCAGTCAAAGTGTGCCCAGATCATGACTAGTGTTGGCGCCTCATCATGAGATGTCAGTCAAAGTGTGCCCAGATCATGACTAGTGTTGGCGCTTCAGCATGAGATGTCAGTCAAAGTGTGCCCAGATCATGACTAGCGTTGGCACCTCATCATGAGATGTCAGTCAAAGTGTGCCCAGATCATGACTAGTGTTCGCACCTCATCATGAGATGTCAGTCAAAGTGTGCCCAGATCATGACTAGTGTTGGCGCCTCAGCATGAGATGTCAGTCAAAGTGTGCCCAGATCATGACTAGTGTTGGCACCTCAGCATGAGATGTCAGTCAAAGTTTGCCCAGATCATCTCTAGTGTTGGCACCTCAGCATGAGATGTCAGTTAAAGTGTGCCCAGATCATGAGTAGTGTTGGCACCTCAGCATGAGATGTCAGTCAAAGTGTGCCCAGATCATGACTAGTGTTGGCACCTCAGCATGAGATGTCAGTCAAAGTGTGCCCAGATCATCTCTAGTGTTGGCCCCTCAGCATGAGATGTCAGTCAAAGTGTGCCCAGATCGTGAGTAGTGTTGGCACCTCAGCATGAGATGTCAGTCAAAGTTTGCCCAGATCATCTCTAGTGTTGGCACCTCAGCATGAGATGTCAGTCAAAGTGTGCCCAGATCATCTCTAGTGTTGGCACCTCAGCATGAGATGTCAGTCAAAGTGTGCCCAGATCATGACTAGTGTTGGCACCTCAGCATGAGATGTCAGTCAAAGTGTGCCCAGATCGTGACTAGTGTTGGCACCTCAGCATGAGATGTCAGTCAAAGTGTGCCCAGATCATCTCTAGTGTTGGCACCTCAGCATGAGATGTCAGTCAAAGTGTGCCCAGATCATCTCTAGTGTTGGCACCTCAGCATGAGATGTCAGTCAAAGTGTGCCCAGATCATCTCTAGTGTTCGCACCTCAGCATGAGATGTCAGTCAAAGTGTGCCCAGATCATGACTAGTGTTGGCACCTCAGCATGAGATGTCAGTCAAAGTGTGCCCAGATCATGACTAGTGTTCGCGCCTCAGTATGAGATGTCAGTCAAAGTGTGCCCAGATCGTGACTAGTGTTGGCACCTCATCATGAGATGTCAGTCAAAGTGTGCCCAGATCATCTCTAGTGTTGGCACCTCAGCATGAGATGTCAGTCAAAGTGTGCCCAGATCATGACTAGTGTTGGCACCTCAGCATGAGATTCAGTCAAAGTGTGCCCAGATCATCTCTAGTGTTGGCACCTCAGCATGAGATGTCAGTCAAAGTGTGCCCAGATCATCTCTAGTGTTGGCACCTCAGCATGAGATGTCAGTCAAAGTGTGCCAAGATCATGACTACTGTTGGCACCTCAGCATGAGATGTCAGTCAAAGTGTGCCCAGATCATGACTAGTGTTGGCACCTCATCATGAGATGTCAGTCAAAGTGTGCCCAGATCATGACTAGTGTTGGCGCCTCAGCATGAGATGTCAGTCAAAGTGTGCCCAGATCATGAGTAGTGTTGGCACCTCAGCATGAGATGTCAGTCAAAGTGTGCCCAGATCATGACTAGTGTTCGCGCCTCAGCATGAGATGTCAGTCAAAGTGTGCCCAGATCGTGACTAGTGTTCGCGCCTCAGCAGACCTACATCATCGTCCTTGTTGTGTCCGTTGGCCCCATGATGCAGCAGGATCTTCATGATCTCTGTGTTGCCACAGTTGGCTGCATCGATGAGCGGAGTGATGCCCCCACAGTGCTTGCCGCCTCGGTCGTTGACAGCGGCTCCATGCTCCAGGAGGCACTTGACCACTTCGTAGTGATCATGATTGGCTGCCTCATGCAGGGGGATCCAGCCACAGTAGTCCCGGGGGTTCACTGGATGGCCCTAAACACACACATATCTTTCAGACAACACATTCCTGTTTCAGCCACAATGGGTATCCATAAAACTACCTGCATGAAAAAGCTTTCTGCCTTAAACATTGGTAAAAGTGGGATACTGTTCCTCTATTTGCCATGAAACTGATCGTGTTGTCATGCAGGTTACACAAAGAGTCAAACACTGATGTAAGGTTGAATGATTAAATATAGGAAGGTACCAAGAGCAAGGCAGGCCCTTGTTTCACAATATCTTAGAGCTACAACTATGGTTAGTCTATATTTGGTCATGGGAATTGCTATAGTTGCTGCACTCAGATCGTTTTGGGGAACAAAGCCCAGGTTTGGGTGAACAGATAAACACTTTTCTACAGCCCTGGTCTAACATATTTAAATCATTTGGATCAACCTAAAGCAATAACAAAAATAAAATGCTTCCCATTTTCAAGGAATGTAACAACTAATTAACCTACCAGTTGACCTTATTCCTAATCTCGAGATGGCTGATCCACGTCTGTACATGTTGTACCTCTATAGTATTACCCAGTACTTCACAGAAGCAAGTGGCTGTCAGTGACATTAGCCTCACCTACCTTCTCTAACAGTGTGCTGACTTTCTTCAGATTGCCCTCTATACAAGCTCTGTGCAGCGGTGTCTCTCCCTTCTCATTCACCTGCAACAGATCATGGGAGCATGAAGAAATACTTGTCATAAACGTGGTAATAGTGTAATCCAACAGTTAATCAATAACCTGGAATGTTTTTGTACCAGGTACGACTAAAAGTTTATCAAATATCGAGCACATCTCTGTTCCTTCTTTAATACAGACAGTTGTATGTAAGCAGAGCTCCAGATAAGCTTTTGGTGTTGTGGGTATTTTACCCATGCATTTTAAAATCATTGGGTATCGGAAATTCTATCTGGGTATTCAAATTTCTGTTACCCACTAGTTTTTACACATGTGGGTATTTAAGGTAAATATTTAAAAACACTATTCAACTAGTCCCTGCAAACTGGTGTCGTCTGGGTTCGAGAGCTTTATAGGACTCAAGAATACCACGATACTTCCACAAAAAAGTGAGATGGCAAATGATTATGATGTAAGTGTCATCGTGCAGTTTGGCAAGGTTGACGGAATACCCGTTTATAATTTCAAAATAAGTTGCTGATTTGCTTATCGAATACGCAGGGTTACTTCACAATATTTTGATGATAAGCACAATTTTTATTTTTGTAGCGTATCTGTAATGTTTGCTGCGTATTTGATACGCTTGGATTTTATTTTACTGCATCATATTTCTGCATTTCTGATGCGTATTTCATGCAGATACGCAGCTTATCTGGAGCTCTGATGTAAGGTAGCTGAAATGAACATCAGTAATTGGTCCTTGTTTTGATATACACAGGATGATCCTCCACAACACTGGATATCCCCATAAGTAAGCAGTGTGACTCAGGCATTATGTCTAGTGAACTAAGTCAGTTGTTACTTTTGGTTTTGTCTGTACCCTCCTCCTGACAGAACCTGTAGCGCCAGGGGCAGACAACTCTTCATCCGAACAATCTGGAATTAGAAGAAAGCATCAACCATGTGTCTTGCATGTTTGTTTGATTGTTTGATGTTTAACACTGCATTCAGCAATATTCCAGCTATATGATTGTGATTTGTAAATAACAAGTCTGGACCAGACAATCCAGTGATTGACATCATGAGCATCGACCCACACAATATGGACAGATGACATGCATCAACCAAATCAGCAAGCCTGACCACCCAATCCCGTTAGTCGCCTCTTACCACAAGCATAGTCGCATATTACAGCAAGCATGGGTTTCTGAAGACCGATTCCACCCCGGATCTTCATGGGACGATCTGACAAGTAGGATAATCCTCACTACATACTACTATCGAAATGAAAATATATTTGAAAAGACAAAACTTGTAAATTTTACAACAAATTGTATATTCATTATACTTATCCCATCTCACGCTGAGCTGGGTTGTAACCATGGTGATGCTGGGATGTGTTTGGGTGAATTGTTTTTTTTAGAAGCTGGAAACTTTGTTCAAGCACATTTCCACATAGGATCGAAAGAAGAAGGAAGAAATGCATAGTGTAAGATAGGATAAGTTTTATAAATATAAAGGTTTCAGAAGTGGGAAACATTTCCCAAGATGACTTTCAACCTAAGAAATTCGTACTTGGACCCCACAATATCCTCATACACATCCCACATGAAAGCCTTTTCTTTCTGCTTTGTTTCTGTCATTCAAGTAGAATGCAGCTGCCAACACCACTGTCTGTATAAACTTGTCCTAAATTGTTTTCAGCCTATTCTACAACCATGACATTTCCTTTAGGAGTACCGTTTGAACATAGTGACCAAGACAACCTTAACCCTGGTGAACCTAACTTTGCCCCAGTCCCAGACGTTATGTTGAGAACGGACCGTGTAACAATCAGGTGAAGAATGTGTGTCACATAAACCACTAACTTTCCATGTTGCATAGTGAAGCCAGTGTAAAACCTTGTTTTAAATACAAACGTAATTAATTATGTGTATCCTGCACCTTAACTCAAATGATCAATATTGATACTGTAACTTCAAATCCCTGACCTGATTCTGTCAACTCAGCGATGCTGAGGTTTCCATCCTCCTCTGAGTGCTGGGTGTCTAGCTCGGAGTCAGACAGTTCATCCTCTGAGGAGATGCCATATTTGTTCCTCAGCTTGAGGAGTTTGTCTTCAGTCTGCTGTTGATGAGTCTTCTGTTTGAAGATCTTCTGCACTTCAACCAGGGACTTCAACACCTGGATCTGACACCATACATTCAGGTGAGACACACACATTACTGAAACTACCCATTGCATTCATGCCTCCATAGCAATTAAGGCAAACAATTTCTGTGGATTCCAGAGCAAAGTAGGTACCCATGCCTGTATGTGCTGAAGGGTTGGCTATAATGGTGGTTTCATAGAGAGTTGCTCATGCATTATTGGTTTATTAATGCTGCAAGACAATAAATGAAAACTCAGACACCAAATGTGCTTTTGCTATGAAAAGGATAGGACCATCCTCAACACCAGTTTTTTCAATTGGGTAATCGTAATCATAATGTTTAACAGTGGGATCACAACACTTTGCTCACAGGAATATGAGTCTTCCAGATAAAGTATACTTGGCCTGCTATGACAGTGTGCAATTTGCTTCTTATCTTCAACATCCAAAACAAAAGAGTGAAAACAGCTGGCTTGAATGGACCCCAAAAGCATGACACCACTAACAGAGTTATCTGCCCTTATGCTTCCTCTTGCATTGAACTGATGTTTGATTAGACAGGAAAAAATTCCCGTGCTTGGATATCCTGTTTTCACTGTGTGTTATGAACATCCAAAGAAAAGACACAAATTGCACACTGTTATAGCAGGAAAGTAATAAGTTAAGATCACAATCAGATCAGGTGCAACATTAAAGAAACAGAGATGACTACACATGTATCGGTCATATACCATCTATCTTACGAGTTGTTTCAAAAAGTATCTATAACTGGCGACAGCGAGTAGATACATTTTCAAATAACGAGTTGTAAGACAAATGGTGAATGACAGACATGAGTTTTTTCCACTTTTATCAACGAGTGTTGATATATTTGATATAAAAAACATGAGGGTAAGGTTTCATTTATCATCCAACATCATTCTTCCAACTTTTTCAGTTTGTAGACATTAATTAGCAGTGTCTTAAGTGTAAAAAGTACTGCTAACAGCTTCAGTAGCAGAGCCATTAGTGATGTCATTTGATTGTGACGTCATGGTAACCAATGTGAAGTCGTCATGGTAACCAATGAAGTCACTATGGTCTGCAAAGCATTGTGATGCAATTTCATTGCAGCTCCAGTGGGAGCCAGTTTTGGATGATAGATTTGGGATAACACTTTCTTGGTAAAGTACATATTCTCGTACTTTTTTGTGTTGCGTCCCATCCGGGATTCGAACCCACACCGCAAGAGTGAGGCACCCATTCACCAGCACACAAAGTCAGTGATCTAACCCAATCAGCCACCGAGGCATCCGCAAAAATGAAAGTCTGACAACTGGTAGTCTAGATCACATACTTTGTGTACCCCTCTGACAAGTGTAAATTGGCACAGCTCCCATGGCCGAATGGGACTCAGCCCAAAAAAGTATGAGAATATGTACTTTACCAAGAAAGTGTTATCCCATATATACCATTTGTTACATTTGACCACTTTCTAAATAGCATTGTGTGTTCATAGCTTTCGGCCATTGGAGCCGTGCCAATCAAACCCCCGACAGTCCACTCTCCGAGCAGATGTGGTGCTACAGGACCACAGAGGCAGTCTAACTAATTTGAAGAACGTAGAAACCTGTTTCACTCACTGAATTCCAAGAACAGTTGTACAAGTTGTTTTTGCCTCTTAATGCCGAGTGCCAGACAAGGTAACAACAAGTACCATCTTTTAACATCTTTTTGGTATGACCTGACCGGGGACCCGATCTTCCGCTCTACCACTAGACCACAGAGGTGATCCCACAGATGTGTGAGAAACAATGTTATGGCTGTCTTCATGTGAATGCCAATGTATAAATAACTGCTTTATCCAACTTCCCATTCACATGATAGACTCACTGTTCCAGTGACGAAGTAATATTCCAAGATTGCAAATCAAAACGTCCATATATTTTCACAAACCTGTAGTTTCCTGTTTTTAGCTTTCCTGGCAAACTCAAAAGCTGAGAGGTAGCACTGGCTAATCTTTTCATAGCTGGACCCTCCCAGCTCTTCTGCCTCCGCAATGTTCAGCCAAGTACGACAAACCTGGACACACAAACACATGGTTAGAAAACAGTCCCAGTGTTGAGCTCCCTGTGAAGAATATAGTACAATAGAAATGTACAGTACAAGAAAAGGAACAAGTCAACATCAAAATCAATTATAGGGTGAGATACAGTTACCGCTGCTACAACATAAGACGTATTTCACAACAACAATCAGAAGTATATCGGATAATGTTTTAAGATGTTACAGCATCAGATAAGACGTGGAGGCTGTTACAAGACTGTACCTGTTCCGAGTCATCAGTTCGACAAGCCAGTTCCTTCTTGTAATACTCTACAGCTTCAGTGAACTGCTTGTTATCAACAAAAGTCTGTGCCAGGGACACATAGATCGGAATCCTCTCCTTCTTACTGATCTGTAGCTGGTCTCCACAAGACAGCTGCACAGACAAAGGAAACCATAGGTTACACAGCAGGGTATTGGAGCCATGGCAATGGAAATATATTACTGACATTATACAAACATTTGTGTGGAACTTGTAAAAATGTGCTGGATAAAGCTATCTTCATTTTGCATGAAATAAAACCATAGGAAACAAGAAAACAGCATTATCACTATCACCCGCCATGGTGCACATGAAAATATTGTTTGTTCATATAGTAGTGAATATAAACTATAACAAAGAGTCCTATAAAGCCTTAAGAGATAGGCTCTAGGGTCACTTCATACCTTTAAGATTAAATGTGAAATTATTACACACAAAAGGCCCCTTCTCTAGAATGTCACCAATTCTTGAACTCAGTCTTGATAAGTATCTCTTAGATGAGCTAACTTCAGCACATTCTGAGAAAACTTGTCCCCACTGCAGACACTATGTATTTTGTAAAATAACATGGATCAAGGGCCATAACTGTGTGTGCTCAAAATCATAAAACATGTAGTAACTCAGGAAAAAATAATTTACAGGACCAACTCAGTTTTGACAAGTATCTCTTATATAAACATGCAAACTTTCTTTCATGTAGCGTCAGTAGTTTCTGAGAAAACATGTCCCCATTTCACGCAGTATGCACAAAGTTGAAAAGCACAGAGAAAGGGCCTTAACTCTGTAAAAATGATTTCCTGAACTCACTTAAGATCATGACCAGCAATATCAGTGTGTATAATTTCATTTCTCTAACTTAAATAGTTTTTGAGAAAATTCATCCCCTTTGAGAAGCGGACAGACGGATGGACGGACAAACTTCGTTCCTATATCCGACGCCCCACTTCATGGCGGGGGACAATTAAACTTCAACAAAGATTGACAAATCGAGTATAGAAACATACTGATGGCACTAAAGACCTTCCTCAAATGCACATCTTTCAAGCATCATGTGCAACTTTACTTAAACTTTGGTAAATATAAACACAAATAGAATGCTCTAATCTTGTGGCCCAGGCAGGATTGAGAACCATGAATGTTTTCTCTCTTAGACTAAAACAAGCGATGTGTCACTGATGGTTTACTGACCATTTGCAGGTAGAAATCAATGGCCTGTTTGAAGTTGGCAGCATCGGCTGCAGCATCACCCAACATCTCATACAGCTTGAACTGTTGCTGCAGACTAGCATCCTCTTTCTGCAGTTCATCTGTACACTCCTCCATTTTGCTGGCTGCACAACAGAGAAGGTGCTTCATCATCAGACACACATCCATGATTGTGGTGTTATTTTTCTTGTCAGAAGGATCTTAATTGCAGCTTGAATGCTCAAAATCACAAAATGTACAAGTACATTTGCATAATCATAAATTGCAAGTTATTCTGTGGCATTTGATGACCAAGCAAAATTCTTTGCGTTTATTTTTCCACAAACCAAAAAACAATTTAGGCCATGCCAACTAATGGACTACCGTTTCCTGATTGGCTGGTAATGGGCAGGGCCTGTGTTGCATTATTGCGCTGAACGATGTCACTTATTTTTTATTGTCTATAGCTTTTTGTTTGTTAATGTAAAAATAAACAGTCTGTGCAGTTATTATCATTGACATATTTATTTATAAGAATTAACTTATTGTTTTCACTTTATTGAGGCATAAACATTACAAGGATCATGGACGTGATTACTGTATAAATCTGTGTAAAGGATTTACTCAAATTGTGCCCACCATTTTCTACCTCCAAAATTGCAAAAACATACTGAGGTAAATCTTACAAAGTGTATGAACACCACAGGGAGATGTTTTCACAAGACTAGATGAGAAATGTCCTTGTATCACAAGCTCCAATATCTATACACTTTGGTTCTGACTCTAATATCGTTCAAACTTCAATGAACACACACAAAGTGAAATTCCACTGTTAAGTCTTCAAAGTAAAACTTGGTTACCATTGCCTTGTTGACCTTATCAATAGAGTGGAGGAGCTGTTGTGAAGGAGATTCATTTAAACGACCAGTAGGAATTTACCAAGATTTCAGAACTACAATTACCAGATTTAAACATTTTTAGGATCCTTGTCTGATCTGTCACTGTTGCAGATCCAAGCTTGTAAGCTTTTTTCAGACAGTGCTTGCCCATGGAATAATCTCCAATTCGTACCAATACCTGAAACAGTACAGTAAGTATGTACAATTCTATCAACATATTTCTGAATCAATAGCAGACAATCTTCTGAAATGGAAACCAAACGGAGACATCCAGCTATAGACTACCAAAGCCCCTTCAGCACTTTCACGATCATCCCTGCTACTTCTCAAAGGAGCCCTTTTAAGGTGATGAGTAGCAAGGAATACCCATGTTTGTTGTAAGAGGCAACAAATGGGATCAAGTGGTCAGCCTTCCTGACTTGGTTGATGCATGTTATCGTATCTCAATTGTGTAGATCGATGCTCATGATGTCAATCACTGGATTGTCTTGTCCAGACTCGATTACTTACAGACTGCCATCACATAGCTGGAATATTGCTGAGTGCGGCATTGAACAACAAACAAACAAGCATCATTCTTTATTACCACAGATATATTATCTCCACCTCTGAACATCACTTCTGTCATAACCTCCACACCATCATATTACCTTACTGACCTGTGAAGATCCGGGGTAGAATATGTCTTCGGCAACCCCTGCTTGCTGTAAGAGGTGACTATGCTTGTCGTAAGAGGCAACTAACGGGATCTGGTGGTCAGGCTTGCTAACTTCGTTGATGCATGTCATCGTATCCCAATTGCGTGGATCGATGTCCAGACTTGATTATTTACAGACTGCCGTCATATAGCTGGAATATTGCTGAGTGCGGCGTAAAACAACAAGCCAACCAACCAACAACCTTACTATTAATGTGCATGAAGGAAAACAATATCCTAATCAATGCGAATGACTGTCTGTGGAGTGTGAGTGTTGTGGGGTGGTAATGAAAGCATACCTGTGCCTTATTGACAAGGACTTCACTTTCCAGCAGCTTGTCCTTCAACTTGCTGGCACACTGCTGTGCCTCCTCCAGGGACCGCAGCGCCTGGCTCCAGTTCTCCCTCCGCTGGTACATCCCCGCCAGGGAGAACTGGCAGCGATACACGTCACTCTGGAGACGGTACTTCCTACAAAAACATTCCACACAACAGTGGTAAGAGGTGGAATGAACTGTTTCTAAAGCTAAGTAATTTTCCTTCAACTTCTCTATCAATTCTCTTATTCACATAAACAGATAAACATTGTTAAAACTGAATACATTATCGTTTTTCAGAGGCGTAGAACAAACAAAGGGATTTTTCACATAAAGAACAGAAACAGCATACTGTTAAAAACCAATACATATACAACATGTACAATGTAATTGCTTATGAATTACCAGTTCTGAGAAACAGGACAAGCTCAAGAGATTTTTCCCCTAATGGTGACAATGTAAGAACATAACACTTCACAAGTGAGGTCTTTATATCGATCGCATTATCATTAAACTTTTAATGTGAATGCTGTATCGATATACTTTCATGAATATTTATACAGAAACATTTACATTTATTAAGATAACCATGGTTAAGATGGACAATAAGAAGGCAGACAATTCAACTAAAAACATTTAATGAATCAGCCTAGTTCATATTTAGCATTAACTTGATTCAATGCATGTCTAGATTGGAATTTTTTTATGTATACTCATACAGAATAACTAATTTGTTATTAATCTCTATATCGATATAAACTTTCCAATCAATGACACTTGTTCACTTCACCAGATTGATTCTACAGCAAGGATTACCACTACACTCACTGAGCAATTGTGATGGCTCTCTTCATAAACTCAGCACTCTGTCGAACATTGCCCCGACCGTCATATACCAGGCCTGCAAAAACAACCTTCAAGTAACACTTTCTATTTAACACAAAAAATCTTAACAAATTACCAGCACGCGGCAAAATCTTTCAAACAATGACAAAACATCCCACCTCCCCACACAAAATTTTCAAAAGCCATTAGCATGATGATTAACAAAGACTTTCTTTTCCTTTTTTAGTTCATTATATATTATTCATAATATTATATGTAGTATTTTTTAAGCAGCCGATTGATGGCAGTATAGAAATACAGTGCCACACCTTTCTTCAAAATGGATACACACATTCTGTAGATGAAGGTACTTGAGGGAGGGAGTGAGTGAGTGAGTGAGTGAGTATGGTTTTACGCCGCTTTTAGCAATATTCCAGCAATATCACGGCGGGGGACACCAGAAATGGGCTTCACACATTGTACCCATGTCGGGAATCGAACCCGGGTCTTCGGCGTGACGAACGAACGCTTTAACCACTAGGCTACCCGACCGCCCCTGAAGGTACTTGAAGACAGAGAGGACATGTAGAGCATTAAACCCTTAACTGAGATAAACAATGTTTTACATGTATAAGTTTGAAGCAGTAAAAAAAGCAGGGTTTGTTTGCTAACCAAGGTTGAGGTAGAGCCTGGCCTTCATTTCCATCAATTCTTCATTCTTTACAGAATTCTTCAACCTCTCACAAACTTCCAAAGACTTCTGAAATGCACTTTCAGCATTTTTTGATGCATCAACTGCACCACGCCCCTTTGATGTCTCAGACTGAAAAAGGTAAGTTCGGCCAATGGTGGCCCATGCTCGCTGCTCCTCTATTGCACTGTCACATGATTTGGCCAGGGAGAGATGACGCTCTTGAAGTTTGAGAGCCTTTGGATACTGTTCAAGAGCACAATAACACTCTCCGATCTTGCGACATGCAACAGCCTCACCAATGGCATCTTGCAGAGCTTCACTGATTGCCCTCTCAGCTTCATGTTCCTTGATAGCCTCCTCGAACCTTTCTGGAAAATAAGGAATCATGGTACAGCAACTGTTTCAGTCAGCAAGTTTATTCAATGAAATCTATTTGCAAGATACTTTCACCTTTGATAACTTGAGGTGGGGTTAAGTTGTTTGTTTAATGCCACACACATCAATATTCCAGCTGTATGATGGCAGTCTGTAAATAATCAAGTCTGGACCACACAATCCAGTGACTGATATCATGAGCATCGATCTACGCCATTGGGATACGATGACATGCATCAACCAAGTCAGGGAGCCTGACCACCTGATCCCGTTAGTTGCCTCTTACGGCAAGCATAGTCACCTTTTACGGCAAGCATGCCTGGAATATTGCTGAAATGCGGCGTTCAACAACAAACAAAAAACATAAAATCACAACATTCCTACTGTATGATTTCTCTGTTGTGTCATACCATGACACTGGTATGCATTCTTCAATACTAGCTGGTTTGACAGGGAGTAGTTTAGGCCTGTCATACCACTGAGAAATGGGGTTTAACTTTGAAGATTATTGCACTTATATAGCCACATGCATGCACGTGTGTTTGTGTGTGAGATGCTTGTACTAGTCAGGACTAATGCCGACTTTATAGGGCTAGCCCACGTAGTTACCATGCCGCAGTTTAACATAAATACCCCACTCAGACACAGTATACTAACTCCTAGCCTACCAGTTCTTGTTTTAATCCCTTAATGCTGAGTGCCAGGCAGGGTAACAACAAGTACCAGTTTTATTGTATTGTTATGGCACAGCCGGGCATTGAACCCCCGAATTTCCACTCTGGGCAGCCGTTCTTCCAAAGGACCACGGAGGTGGTCTATCTAACTCAAAGAATGTATAAACCTGTTTCTCTCACTGAATTTCAAGTACACTTGTACATGTTGGAGTTTCATAGGTAACAAATGACTACATGACTTGAGTGAAAGTCAGTAATCTTGAATGGTTTTGTATGGTGGGTTCCATCAGTTAGTTGTTCAAAGTGCATAAACATGATGAAGTGGACAGCATGATTTCCCTTACAGAAACATGGGGTAGAATGTGTCCCCAACACTCCATTGCTAGTTGTAAAAGGCAACTAAATTGGGAACCTGTGGAGATTTCGGGCTAGAGTTTGTCACTAGCAACCTATGCTTGTCGCAAGAGGCAACTTAATGCATCAGGTGGTGAGGCTCAGTGACAAAAAACTGCAAAGGCATAGAACATTGCTCACTATATCAGTCACTGGAGTGTCTGGTCCAGATTTAACAGATTGGAATATTTATGCATCAAGTAACCCATTACCTTGGAAACCAAAGGACCTGCTTTCAGAAACAGACTCATGGAACCCACATTTGTAAGAAATGGTGATTTACTTTCATCAGGGATCACTGACCCAGGATTCCTTACACACTTCTATTTCTTGTTCTTTCAATACATATTAAATATGAGTACTGGTCACCAACTAATTATCACCATGTTTTTCATGTTGTTTCTGATATATTCCGTGTACAAAGTTGACTTTACCAATAATTTTATTTTTGGTGAAACTATGAGCATTTACTCCTCTCCGTGAAATAAGATTCAGTGGATTTCTGATATAACGCTATGATAGGGAATCAAAACAGTGGAAATAGAACTTTCCCATCGACTTACTGTTCCAGTTGTTGCCATTGTCTTTACAGCATGTGCCACGTGATAATGCGCACCGCTTCAGTTGTACAAATTACAATTTTTAGTATCTTGGGTATCGCACTCAATTTTTAAAAGAATTTCATAAAATAACTAAGAAATGATATTATCAATTTGTCGTCTGCAAACTGACAGCCTGAAATGTTTATATACGACAGATATATTTTTCCAGAATTTAATTTCTCATAATAAGGATGCATATAACACACTTATTATACACGAATAAATAAGTCTTGTGTACATTCAATAATCGGAAGGGGTGCTAATTGGCATTGTTCACTAGCCAATTTATTAGCAAATATCGCAGTTGGCACTTATTAGAGCGGGGTGCTTATTACGTTGAATACAGTATGTGTTTTTTTAATTATAGCTCAAATAGGTTTAAGAATTATATTTTCGGGAAGAAATGACAGAATTGAAAGTGCATCATCATGTTGTTTTAATAATATTTTTGCTTGAATTAGTCATGCGACACCACCCACATGTCTTTTCTAAAGTTGTTTGAGCAAGGTGATTATGATTGTTGTTGTTTTTCAAATATTTCCTCACAAGAGCCTGTTTTGTTCCCCACTTCGGATAGATATTTCTCTCTTCTAATGAAAACAAGCAAAAGTAAAATGAGATGCGATCACGTGTGTGCTATAATGGGGAGTTGACCATAATTGGTCCTCGGTGATAACTAGTCACTAGCCAGTAACGATTCTGATCTAACTATTTGCATTTGATGATACAAACCATATTTTGACAGTAGTTCTCCAATACAATTATGTATCTGTGACACTTCTTTCAGGTTGTCTTTTTTCTCTGCTTTCCTTTTCTCTCTTTTTAATTCTGAAAGAAACAAAACAACAACTGTATATATTCACCATTATTAGGCATATATGGCAAAAGGCCAAATGAATTCTCGTGAAATTAATCTACTATTAGACATCTTTTGTCATTGTAAGAATGTCAGATAGGAATGTTGAAATGAGCGTTCAATAATCTTGTCCCATAATTACTGGTGTCGATGTGTTGATGAAAATTGTCACTAATGTTAAAGATATCCTGAGGGTGAATAGAATTTCAGGTTTATATGTTTTCAACTTTCCATCGATCTTTTCTGACTAACCTACGACCTCGTCGTATCTGTATCATCTTAGCCAAAGGCTTGGTTGATTAGGTTAGTTTGCTTAGGATGCAACGACAAAATGCGTCAGTAATGTCAAATACAGTGCAATACTCCAGGTTAATGCAATCTACGTTAAATCTCAACAAATAACCTTGTCGATGACGTTCAGTCGTATGTGCGCGAAAATTGGAGGGTTTACATTTAGATAATAACAAAGATCGCTTGACAGCGAGCTGGTTACAAACTTTCTAGTTCTCTTTCATCTTCTGGATCCATCTCATTCCGAAATTCGCTTGCTAAATTAATAACACAAGTCTCGGCATTTGCCTGATTGATGATATTTGGCACTATTTCCTTCTTCAAAATAAACTTTCCGCCATTTAATTTTCCCGGCGATTTTCTATGCTCAAGCGCATTTGCTTTAGAGTTATCTCCCTTCCAGTTGCAAGTGTCCGTTTCTCATTGTGTCTCATTCAACAAATTGTTTCCACATTAATTTGGAGCTAGATAAGCACGTTGATCCCGTAATGGTGTAGCCGTTATGTCCATAGCAATAATTGTCAGAAGTCTATACAATATAATGAACAATATGCAGTACCTCCACACGTGACTAAAATGACAGCAATGATGTGCAGTTTGGAAGGTGATTATGATTGAATACAGGACGTTTTTAAGCTGACCAGAAAGTTCATGTTGCAGCATGATTCAAGTATGTTTCAAGTCCACACATATTTCATGTACTATTTTCTAATGTATAAGATTGTTTTATTCATGGAACATTTGTTACATGAGTTAGTGCAGCATATATATAGTAATATGGTTGTTCGTAATATTCCATATTTGTAACATTCACACTGATTATTTCTCATCTCTTACAGATGATTGGTGAATATTACCAATTAAAAGCTGAAGTATGTCGACAAATAATTTATACATCAAAATGAAAAGCGATATCATCAGGACTATCTCGTCGATGGTGGGCAGATCCTATGGTCCAGATTGTCAGCAGACCCTTCTGTGCACATCAACAGGCATGGTCCTGGTTACGTCAGATGGGATGTGCATACTTCAAGGTCTTCATCTGGGCCACCCAATTGCTACAGTGGTAGTGAAAGCCATACAGAAACACCACCTCATGACTCACGACGGCACCAAGACATTCACCCTGTATCTGTCACAAGCGTTAACAGGCTTGGATAAAACTCTTGCCTGCTCTCCGTCTACAGATAACATTGGGTCGTCACTTGATCAGCTCAGTTATGTGACTGCACGGCAGCTGACAAGAATTGAACATGATGTTTTACCAAAAATTTGGAGAGAATTATCCCAGAATTCTGTTGTTGTGAATGCTGGAGGTAAATTGCCACTGATCAATTTAAGATCAGTCATAAACACATGCTTGGAAAGCCATTTGTCTAAACATACAAGACATGTTTTCGTAGGGTTAGTTGTAAGCTCTTTGGGAGTAAGTGAATCTGATATATTGACAGACATTCCAGTTGGTGTTTTAAAAAGAAGAGTAACATTTATGATTGATAACTTTGATCTCCTCCATTTTAAACTTTCCAAACAACTGTGTGAAACTTCATCAGTTCTGCCAGGATTTCTGCTCAGGCAAGATTTTTCAGTGAAACACCCCCAGCTTGGTGAGAAAGGAGACATCAAGTTTCTCATGTTGTTTTGCTCTGTGGAAGGAAATCCACATGAAAACCCAGATGAAGTTGTTCATCTGAAGGATGAGGAAACGGCTTACACTGCCCTGTCTCACAGAGTAACCATGACAACCAAATACTTGACTGGTCTCAAACAGAAGGATGTATCTTTGATACTGTGTTCAGAGACTGTCCCTCAGTTTGCAAGGTCTTTATGTAGGGATTTGGGTATCAGTGTCATCAGCTGTGTCGAGCAGGAGGATATTCACTTCATTGAAAGGATCACTGGACTGCAGGCTGCCACGAGCATCTCTAGTCCAGTTGACAGTAATCAGACTGGTCAGCTGTCTCATTGTGACAGGATTGTGTTAGGAAGTCAACGTTTAGTTCATCTGCAGTTTTCAAAGACAATGAGATTCATACTGCCAAGAACAATTGTCATAGCCGCACCAACAGATGGACTGGTTGATCAGCTCAGGACTGCTGTGTACAAGTCATACAAGTCTGTTGAAATGTGCTTTGCCTTTCAAATGACTCCCAATAGAGATGATTTCCATGGTGAGATTAGTTGTCAAGAAAGGACCAAAGGTCTCACCACACCTTCAGACAGTGGTGAGTTCTGTGTTATTGGAGGAGGTGGGTTCTTTGAGATGAGGGTGGCATGCATGTTGAAGAATCTGTCCAACAATTTCACTGATGGCAAGACCGGCCATGGGAGTCGGGTCCTACATGACAGCCTGCTCTCTGTACCTAGACACCTTCACAAGCATTTATCCCCGAATCTAGGTACCGAAGGTAAGGACTACCTGGAGAAGATGCAGCAGTTTCTGGCAACAGTGGCAGAGGGAGGGGTTGCTGGGCTGGATAGAAAGGGGAGGATCTGTAGTCCTGTAGATGCTGGAATACTGGAACCACTTGCCTCCAAAGTTTTGACCTTGACCTCTGTGGTGCAGCTCCTGCAGCAGCTGCTGAGGATCGATGATATTGTTAGTGTCCAGAAACTAGAAGCACTTGAGATGCATTCTGATGATGACATGTAGACTTGACACATTGCTTGGAGAATACGGACTCATCTATGTCTGGAGTCCAAGAAACAGTGAATATAAGTGTATGAACCATTTAGATCATTGGTTTTTCAGCACCATAAGCAGGTGCTCATGGTTTCACCAAATGATAAATGTTTAAGACATACATGAAATGTGGCATAACTTAAATATTCTCCAAAGTGGTGTGTTATATACATCTTATTCACTTATTCGAATCCCGGTTCACCCTTATTATGTTTCTAGGTTTGTCCGCACCATACCCGTCGTGGGTTTCACAGAAAGGGTAAACGTCTGAGACCTGCATCACTTTGGGCTTTCCTCCCACATTAAGCTGACATGCCGCGATATAACTTTTATACTGTTAAAAGCGGGTTAAACCCAACTCATTCACTCAATCTATCCTTAACTTCATACAACAATATGGTGTTGCCTTTCAACAATTCTGCCAGCCATAGAGTTCACAATAATTTGCACCAAACATATTCACAAAGAGCAGGCCATTTGACACTTCATACAACGGGCAGGCTAATAAATGCAATATCTATTAGATAAAGTCAAATAAAAATATTTTATTTAAAAGTCATTGCAAATTTGATCTTTCAACCCAAGACACAGCATTGAAAAACAATTTAAAAAGAACGTCTTGTTGTAATAAGTACAGGAATTGTAACATTGCTGATATTTCTGGCCAATATTCCCAATTTTTATGGCTAGCACACATGCAACCAGTCAACATTGTTTGAGTGGCATTCCATGATATTGGTGTAACGTTGCCAAAAAGCACTGTAATACCCAACCCAACTCACCCACTCACTGTCCGAGGGCAGATCCCCATAGTTTGGCTAAAGAAACCTGCTGATATTAGGCTATTATATGATGAGGTGGGTAAAAGAGTAATGCAAGTTAAAATACAGCATATGATACATTAATTTATTTGTAATGTTGTTTATTTGTTAACAAAATGTAAGAAATGCTTTCAGGTATATCAAACAAAGACCAAAAAAATATATATTGTTTTTAATTGAGGAGCCCAAAGAACAGATTCATGTTCAGAAATTTTGCACAGTGCGGTCTATTCAAAGGGAGATCACTCTTGGTGGTTTGTAAGACTGGACCTCCGTAACCATTCTCACCACTCGCATCTTCCCGTAACCTTCAACATGAATGGCACGAGTTGGTCATTAATGATAACGGATAAGTTAGGGCAGGGTGATATTGCCTTTCTTCCGGGTTATTCTTTTCCTGGGTGGAAAACTGCTCCCTTTGATACGTTTTCCTTACAAATAAGATAGCAACTATCTCAGGAGATTTCCCTTAAAGCCATATGCAGGAAACATTCGTCTGGTCCAGGATGAATAACCTCATTGTTAATATGACAGATTAATTTGTTTCAAAATACTTTCGACCCTTGCTTCGACTCAATACCTGTTGTCTATGGGAATCCGGGATAGGAGAACTTGCTTGTCTTAAGGGCCGACACAATGAGGATCGGATGGTCACAATGCATGTACTAGCTGTTGGGGATGTCAGGGTGAGGTGAAATAGGGTTTTACGTCGCGTGTGTGTGTCGATTTTATAGTGCTAGCCCACCGAGAGTTTAACATGCCGCAGTTTAACATGAATACTCCAATTAAGACACAGTATACCGACTCCGAGCCGACTGGTCCTTGTTTTAGCCGCTTAAAGCCGAGCGCCAGACAGGGTAACAACAAGTACCATCTTTTAACGTCTTTTGGTATGACGCGACCTAGGATCGACCCCCCGATCCTCCGCTCTCCGGGCAGACGCCCTACCACTAGACCACGGAGGCGGGATGTCAAACTCACACATCAAAGTGGGAGACGTCTGAGAACTGCATGCATTACTTTTGACACTTTGGCTATTTCCCACACGTATCCTGTATGCATCCACGCCATGTTGAACCTCGTGGGGATTCCGGGTTAGAAGAGGTCCCAAGCAATGTTAAGTGGTAATACTACATTCTGCTCTGCCATCCGAACACGCTATTTACCAGTGGGTGTGGGGTTCTGGAAGTCCTACCATTATAGGTGAGGTGAAATGGGGTTTAACGTCGCGTCCAAGATTATTGCACTTACATAGCGACGTGCATGTACGTGTGTTTGTTTGTGTGGCTGCTTGTACTAGTCCGGACTGATGCCGATTTATAGTGCTAGCTCACTGAGATACCATGCCGCAGTTTAACATGAATATCCCACTCAAACACAGTATACTGACTCCGAGCCGACCAGTTCTTGTTTTAGCCCCTTAATGCCGAGCGCCAGACAGGGTAACAACAAGTACCATCTTTTAACGTCTTTTGGTATGACGCGGCCGGGGATCGAACCCCGGACCTTCCGCTCTCCGGGCGGACGCTCTAACACTAGACCACGGAGGCGGTCCCCTACCATTATAACATGTTGATTTAGATGGTAAATTAAAATTAATAATAGTTTAGCTGGCGCCTTCTGGATCCGTCCCTGAAAGCAGTAGAAACCGCGAGACCGTGGACACAAGTCTATCTGACGTTATCAGTTGTGAAATACGTTTTCCTCATGTACACATAGGAGCGGTAGGGTAGCCCGATGGATATTGCGAAGCTAAGTCTTGTCGTGCGTGTTCGAATCCCCACAACTAGCGAGGTCCCCTTCATATGGATGGAATATTGCTCAAAGCAGCGCAACCCACACACCTATATCGTGGAAGACGTATTCAGTTAAGGAGACGTGTACCTACCTATACGCTCAACTGACTTAACGAAGCGAATAAAATGATTTTATCACCTGACTGATCCAGTAAAATTAGATTTGACAATGTTCTATACATGAACGATTTGAATATAGAGTTGCTCTGTTTAGTATTATCCATGCGTTGCCATACATTCTGCAGATGACTGTACCTTCAGACTCAGAGAATATAGAGTGTAACTGACGACCCGATGCCAACATATGTGATACGAACTATACTACTCAAAAGAAGTTAAGAGCCACCAAATTCTTTCATATTACTATAATTAATCTGTCTTGACATGACAAATTAACTACCTGTGGAGATTTGGATTAGAATAGGTCTTCAGCAACCCACGCTTGCCGTAAGAGGCGACTAACGGGATCGGGTTGTCAGGCTCGCTGTGTAATTCACTGGATTGTGTGGTCCAGACTCGATTATTTACAGAACGCCGTCATATAGCTGGAATATTGCTGAATGCGGCGTTAAACAACAAACAAGCAAACGAACTAGATTGATATGAAAGAATCGGGTGATCCCTAACGTTTTTGTATATCATGTTGCTGCGTTTTGAATAGACCAATGATAATAAAGTTAAGACTAAAGATAATGAACTTCGTGATAAGTGCCATTAAAGTATTCATCTCTCCCGACAGGTAAAGAACAAAAAGTATCATGGACGAAATTTGCAGATACATTCGTGTTGGAACCGCAAACACTCTGGTACCATATCTTTATTACATATTTAATTATGAAGAAACACGGCTATATTTCTGCAAAATGCTTTTGCGATTTTGAGGCATTAATTGACTCTTTGAAGATTTACGTCACACGTTTTATTGTAGTTTATTGCCAGACCCTGCATGTATATATGTGTATGCCTTATCCGGCTTAGTATCGATATGTAAGTATATACGCGCGCGGTCAAAGTCTGACTCCTGTGTGACGTGGGATCTGGCTGACCAGTGTTGCGTGTCAGAGCCTGACCTTTAGGTGGTTGTGCGATTATATACAGTCGATTACCTTTCTGAGGTGACCACTGCGGGCCGTTCTTTCCGACTAATACACCAAGTACAGTATCTCCAGAACATTGACTGATTAATCTACATACCAGAACTGTATTTCATATATGCAATCGATTTTGAAGAGTCATCTATGTACGAAATATTCTGTTTCTTCTTACATTCGACCTCTTCGATGGTAACGAGAACACTGAATACTGTATACCTCCAATCTATATTGTTATGCTAAGGTGAATAGACGAGTTTCTATGGTAACAAGTAACACCGACACCGTGGGTAACCATGACAATATAATAACGAGTAAATACCACGGCCATCAGATGTGGGCAGAAAGTGCATGCTATTTGATGGGGTCATTCCTGCCTATCAGCCTTTGTCTAATTTATTTGGTCATCCATCCAACAAATTATCTGTCCGCAAGCACATATCTTGAAACCTCTTCAATCTGGTCAACAGGGATACGAGAAGGACGCTTTTGATATTTTAGCATGGCGGCAAGTTCATGTGTATATTTTCTGTCCCGGGATTTGGGGATTCGGGGTCGGTAAATAGGTAAAATACCACTCTGTTATTTCCCTTCTCGGTTGCGACTGTTGTTTCCGTGAATAAGTGAGGAATGTACAACAATAGCTGACATCTCCTTAATGACGTGACCCCAATTAGAGCTCGTTATCGTCGTGGAGGCAGTCGCCATGGAGATGATGGAGACGACCCTATATTATCGTTGTCTGAAGCCTCCACGGGACAACAGTCTGCACTAGAGTGACCGAAGCATTAAGATGCCTGTACTATAATTGTTTAGTGTTCTGAAACTATTGTGTAGACTGGTGAAAACGGGTCCATTACCTATCTCAATAATTGAAACATTAATTCTTACGTTTGACTATGAAAGATGGATGAAGTCCATTCGGTCTGAACGACACTTGTTAAATCCATTACCAAACTTCATAAACCCTCTTTTTTTTAAAATATGAATCGAGAATATTTTAGCAAATATATCTGTTTTTGACATACATATATGTTAACGTCTCTACAACGGTACTTAATCAAAGTAGTACTTATATATGTATGCGTGTTGGAAAACAGCCTAGAGTGATGCAGGAAGGCATATCCCTGCTTTGGTGTAACCAATGATCACGGGTATGACACTAAAGATCACCATCGCGGCGAATCTGGTATTCAAACCCATGATCAGCGGTTCCTTGCATGACTGAGGGGACGCAACTCTGTACAGTGAAGTGCAGCTTAATTAGACCATATGGCCAGACGACCGGAGAAATTTCTATGTTAAAGTATGGTAGTTACAATAGTCGTAGATTACATCGATTAATAACGTATAATGTTGATGATTATTTTACAGATTACAGAGACATTGAGTCTTTGAACAAACAAGACCATGCATCTCTCTTTCTTGTTTCCGCGTTAACACTCTACTGGTAGGGAAAAGTCAGTCCAAACTGCCACAAAGTTGACACAAACCTATTCATGATATAGTCACGTTATGTGTCGCTGACATAACGACTATAATTACCAGTGAATGGAATCACCCACGCCTTGCAAAGATGACAATTCCGTTTTGGGAACACATCTGGCTCCAGCGCAGCATGTTTGACCTTTGACCCCGTCTCCAGGCGATCTCCTGGCGCGCTCAACAGCAGGTGCGCGCTTGACACCGTGATGACATGTCTGTCTCACTGCATGCTATGTGCTGTATCACTCATGTACGCTGTACACATCGAAAGTTTATGTATTTTTGCATCGTTTGATAACGTATAGTTTTGTTCTCGTGGATATTAACATTACATCACGTTTAATGTGAACATTATCACACGTATAAAAAAAGAAAAGAAATGGCTGACATTTTGTATTGAAGTGGGATGTCGACAGCCACCACTTTCCCGAATGAATACATTGATTTAAAAAAAACCATACACCTTCCTTATGATGTGGCTGTCACTTCTATTCTTTATCGAAGCCGGTATATATTTTTAGTTCACCACTTACGCAACATATATCTCTAACGACGGTTAGACCCGTGAAGTCTTCAAGCAACCCATGCTTGCCGTAAAAGGCGAATATTCTTGTCGTAAGAGGCGACTAACGGGATCGGGTGGCCAGGCTCGCTGACTTGGTTTGAAGCTTGTCATCGATCCCAATTGCGTGGATCGATGCTTATGATATCAATCACTGGATTGTCTGGTCCAGACTCGATTATTTACTGACCGCCGGATCTTTCAAATGTTCTAAAGTGTTAATGAACATAGGGTGATTCGAGGAGACACATTTAAGTGCCTGAAGGCATGACTATGAATCTGAAAAGATTGTGAAATTTTAACATTGATTTTGTTGTTTAATATAGGTCAGAGCCGTTAGAAATGTAGTTAAAAGATGGTACTTGTTGTTACCCTGTCTGACACCCGGCATTAATGGCTAAAGCAAGGACTGGTCGGCTCGGAGTCAGTATATACACTCTTCAAAAAAAGAACTTGCGGGTGAGGCACAGGTAGTATGAAGTACTACAGAAACAAACAAATCTGGTACATAAATTGGATATATGTTATTGGAAAATGTTTATGGCCTGATATTCGACAAACGGTGCTTCAAAACGCAGCCATTGTCGATTCTTAAACGGCATTGTTTTCAAACTTGTTCAAAATGTCATGGAGGTAAAGAGTAAAGCAAAATGCACGTGCAAGTTATGGCAGTCGTAAATCGTGGTAGTGGCTATAAAAAGGCAAGCATAAGCCAATAATTTGTCATTCAATTGTCAACATTTTACAAGTTCGAAAATGCCGAGACTCAGCGCTGCCGATCGGAACATAGCCATAGGACGTATCCAACGAGGGGAATCGCAGTCTTTTGTTGCACGCCACTTCAACGTCCACCACAGCACCATATGCCGCCTTTGTGACCGATACACACAGTTCATTTCCACTGCAGACCGTCCGAGAACCAGCCGACCAAGAGTTACCACCCATACACAGGATCCTACATTCGACTATTCCACCTACGTCATCGCAATGCCACAGCTATGCGAAGACTGCAGGACGCATCCCTGGTTTGAGGGGGATATCGGACCAGACTGTCAGGAACCATCTACGCGAGGCTGGTATCCGACCCAAAGACCAGATATTGTCCCTGTTTTGCAACAGATCCATCGACAGCGACGCTTGCGTTGGTGCCATACCTTACAGCCTTGGAATTTGAGAAACTGAAGACGAGCGTGGTTTAGCGATGATTCACGATTTCTTCTTCACCGGAGAGACGGAAGACAACGTGTTTATCGTCGTCGAAATGAGCGTTTTGCCCCACATTGTATACGTGAATTCGACAATTTCGGTGGCGGTAGTGTCATGGTGTGTGGGGCCATATCCTACACCAGGATATCTGACTTAGTTGTGGTTCAGGGAAATTT